TAGTTCCATAAGTGAAAAAATTTTGTTGTTTTAGTCCTCCGGCGCCGGATCTTATTTTATTTTATTTTTTATTTTTTTTTAAATTTTTTTAAAAATTTATTTTTAATTTTATTTGCCTTTTTTAATTTTTTTATTTGGTCCAATTAAAAAAAAAATCCACGTGTCCGCCAGGTGTCGCTCACCTGGCGGGACACGTGGCTTCCGGTGAGCCACGCGGGCCTCTCCGGCGCCAGAGAACTAAAACAACGAAAATTTTCCACTTATGGAACTAATTTGCAACAAACTCCACTTACGGAACTAAAATGATAAGGAGGTCCAGTTACGAGACTAAAAAAACGGTTTACTCAAATATTAATAAATGCTATTAGGTCTATTTTATATGTATGCTATAAATTTATATCTAATGTGCTAATTGGTATATATTATTGTACTATTACCACTGTGTTGATTAAATACTCATTCCGTCTCATAAAGAAATATTCATTTGCTTTTTGCACGTAGTTTTAGAAATATTAGTATTATATTGGGATATAATAGGAATAAAATAAAAATAACTAAAATAACCTTATTAGTATGTGTGATATAAAAGTAATGACATTTGCGTAATATATTGTAAGTTGTAAGGGTATTTGCAATGATAGGTAGATAGTACAGTTACTAAAAAAAAAAATGAATACTTTGTCATGAGACAGACTAAAATAAAAAAATGAATATTTTGTTATAGGCCGGAGGGAGCATTTGAAATCCCATTAAACATCTTTCTATTATTATTATTATTATTATTAATAATATAAAATACAAACTCTAATGTCTACATCTATAATTATTCGTGCCATAACAAAAGAAAATACAATTATTTTCATATATAATATACCTTAGAAATTAAAAAAGGCTTTGTTTGTTACACCATCTCCAGACTTGTTATGAGAAAACGAGAAAGAAAACAAATAAAGAATACAGAGGTTTTACGTGGTTCGGTGACAGTGTGTCAACCTACGTCCACGGGCAGGAACCGGAGAGATTTTATTATACTGATTCAGAGATTTACAATATGTCATCCGACTAAGAACCATAGTTGTCTATTTATAAGCACTCCAAAACACCCTAAACCCTAAGTCCATTTGTTATTAATTAGGATAAGCCCAAAAGGAACCCTGCCAATTGAAACAGCCCTTTCGCTTTGGTTTAGGGTCGAGTAGACCGCTAAATCCAAGTCACGTTTCAACAATCTCCACCTTGACTTGGAGTTTCTCCAACCGCCAAAGGTTCGTCAGTATCTCTCAGTCGTCTCCTTCCTGCCAGATGCCCCGAGAAGGCTTTACCTCCTACGAATATTCACCAAGTTCAAGCAATGCTCAAACTTCTCCGTCGGTAGCGCCTTTGTCAACATATCAGCTGGATTGTGTTCTGTAGCTATTTTCTGAATAGAAAACTTGTCTTCCTCCAGAACATCACGGATAAAATTCAACCTTACATCAATATGTTTGGTTCTCTCATGATACACTGGATTTTTAGCCAAACTCAAAGCACTTTGACTATCACAGAATAACACCGGTTTCTCCACCTTCAGACCCAAACTCTGCACCAGACCATGTAACCAGATACCCTCCTTAATACCTTCAGTCATTGACATGCATTCCATATCTCCATTTATCCAGTTTTAATTCCAAATATGTAGTTACTACAGTAATTTTACTTCAACAATAACTTCATTTTTCACTATTATTCTTCAAATATTCAATTTTCCTATTATTTTAAACAACTTTTAATTTTTCTAATTTAAAATAAAATTTTAAATTAAAAATTGTAAAAAATAAAAATTAAATTTATAAATTAAATTTATAATTTTAAAATTTTAAAAAATAAAAAAATAATAATAATTCAACGCAAAAAATTGGCTTTGAATTTGACGTGGGTTGTCGGGTCGAAGACAACCCACGCCAAAAATATCAACCCAGTACCATTAGCTTTTCAAAGCCCATAATACACACCATATGGGTATTGTATTTTTATTTTTATTTTTTCCTTTACATTTATGTGTATTTTTGTTTGTAGGGCTATCTAATAATTATATATATATATATATACTGTTTTTATTGTTATATGATTTTACAAATATTTCAATACAAACTTTTTATTTACTTTTAATAAATTATTACACCTATATAAAAAAATATATACAAACTATTTGGGCTTTGACATAATAAAATATCATTCTATGTACGTGGGCTATGCATTTAAAATATTTACACACAATATATAAATACATATAATAAACTACATACAAAAAACCATAAAATTATATATAAAATATATATATTTCATCCGTTCCACTTAATTTGTCTTTGTATTTTTATTTTTGTCTATCTCATTCATTCTTGTAAAATATAATTATATACTTTAATCACATTTTAAAATTCATTATATAATTTTTTTTTATTTTAATTAAACTATTTAGTCATTTTAATCTTAATTTATAATTTTTTTATTAAATCATAATTATTTTTAATCTCATGTCACTTTTTTTTTAAAAAAAATGATTACCCATTTTAATCTTATTTTAAATTTTCTAATTTTAATTAAACTAATTAGTTATCTTAATCTTAATCTATAATGATTTATATTAATGTTAATTATTTTCACTAATATATTTTTAATTATTTACTAATTATATTTATAAAAAATTCTCGTGTCTATAGTAACCAGGACACCCAATGTGAGACAGAGGGAATAGTAATTTGTATAACTTGTTATTTTTGAAAAAAAAAAAAAATTATCTATCATGAACAATGAATGTTAAAATATATCTAAAATCTATTAGTCTTAATAAAACGATTGTTAAAAACAATAATTATATCAGTTAATTTAAGATAATGATATTCATCCAACATCATGTCGAAGGAGAACTAAAAATGTAATATCCCACAATCGCGAATCGCCTTGACTTGTGGAATAAATTCAAAGAATGGTAAACTGTTTTTTAGTCTCGTAACTGGACCCCTTATCATTTTAGTCCCGTAAGTGGAGCCTGTCGCAAATTAGTCCTATAAGTGAAAAATTTTCGCTGTTTTAGTCTTCCGGCGCCGGAGATGCCCGCGTGGCTCGCTGGATTTATTTATTTATTTTTTTTTTTAATTTTTTTTAATTGGACTAAATTAAAAAAAAATACAAATAAAATTTAAAATAAATTAAAAATAAGTTTTAAAAAAAATTTAAGAATGAAAAAAAAAATAAAATAAAATCCACGTGTCCGCTAGGTGTCGCTGACCTGACGGACACATCACCTCTGGCAAGCCACGTGGGCGTCTCCGGCGCCAGAGGACTAAAACAGCCAAAATTTTTCACTTATAGGATTAGTTTGCGACAGGCTCCACTTACGAGACTAAAATGATAAGGGGACCAGTTATGGGATTAAAAAAAATAGTTTACCCTAAAAAGAAAGAAATACTCTTCGGGTGTGTTTGTTTGGGGGAATGGATTAGATTTCCATTATTCATCCCATTTTTTCCTCCCAAAAATATCAAATCAAACACCTATTTTTCATTTTTTATATTATACTATAAATCAATTTTACATTCAAAACATCACATCAACACCTATTTATATCGCATTATACAATTATTCAAATTCAAAATTTTTACTAACGTGGATCACTTTTCTTTATTTATCTAATATTTACTAGGTGTTATTCTAGGAACAATAATGTTTAATACCTTTATTTTTCTTGTGCATTTTACACATTCTTGTACAATTGATCCATAGTTTTGGGAGATTTTCAATAGTGAAGATGATCGAGGTCATTTTCATAGCGAGTTAACGGTGTGTTGTCTATGTCATTTTAATCGGATTGAAGGAATTTTGAAAATTATTTTATTTGAAAAAAAAAGAGTAATTATTAAGCTTTTCTTGAAGGTGCAAAAAATTTCTTGCAGTGATAATTGAACTTACGCAATAAGAATATAAATGACAATAACATGATAAAAAAATATTTAGTCTCTTATTAATATATCAAAATAACAAATTATTGTTAAAAAATCATGGAACAATTTTCATTTCATCTCGAAAATCAATTGCAGCTCAAGCGAAAGTTAATTGTTTTTTTTTTTCTCAAGCGAAAGATGTCTCACCGCTTGATCTACAAGGGTTTGACTTGTGTTTAGTTTAATTGATATGAGAATTGTAATAGAGTATCGTATATTAATTTATTTCAAAATTTTATAAATAAAATAGATATTAAATATTTTGGCATAAATAATTTTTGTATTTGGACAAATAATTAATAATTATTTGTAATAATACTATTTCTTTAAAAGATAATTTAGATTACTTATAAAAAATTATTTATTTAAAATATAAATAAAAAAATTTGTGTTTTATTGGATTTATCCAAAATTTTTACTACTCAAAATCAAAACCTCTTAAGTTAACAGACTATACATCGGACAGTTCCTTGCAAAATTTAACGGTTTCAATGTGTTTGTTCATATCAATTCGGTAATACCTAAATTTTTCAAGACAGTTTAAACTATTCAAACTAAAATTGAACTTTTTCAAATTACAATTTCGATTATAATTTGACGGTTTCGATTATGGTTTATAAACCGTTTCTTTCGATTTAGAAATTGCTATTGCCAATTTATATTTATTCATTTTTAATAATATAAATTTTTTTATTCTCTATTTTTTCTAAATTTAAATTTTAGTTTAAAACATTGATCTGATTTGATTTAGATATATATATTTATTATGTAAAAATCATAATAAATAATGTAATTAATTTGATTTTTACAGTATTAAAATAATAAATTTAGTAAATAATTAAACTAAAATTTAAATGAAAATAAATACAAATAAATAATAAAATAATTTAAATTAAATATAATTATATAATAAAAAATTATAAAATTTAAAATATAAATATAAGAAATAACATCATTAATAATTATTTATTTTATTAATATTATTTTGATTTTTATTATTGCCCTAATCAAAATATTTGCACATCCATACTCCACAGCCGCCGCCGCAGCTCGCTGCCCGCAGCTCCGCACGCCGCACGGTCGTCCTCCTCTATCTTCTTCTTCCCCAATTCTTTCATCTCTTTCTTCTTTCCTTTCCTTTTTCTTCTTCTTCACTTCACCTACCCTGCTCCTACTGCTCCACAGCCTCCACTGCGCCTGGTACTGCAAGATTCAAAAAAAAAATAAAAATAAAAAATGGTCCATGTTGTCCCTGATCGGACATGGGGAGGGGATTGGCTCCTGAATGTGAATTCATTTCTCGCCGCAGAATAAACCTCTGGTAAACCCCAAATTGAAGGAGAAAGCACGCCGGGGAAGAATTTCCAGATGTTGTAGGGAAAAGATGAGAGCTTTACCGTTTCATTATGCGGAAATTCTGCCATTCTCCATTCCTCCATTCGATCAAATCCCTAAGGTTGACTCGGGCTTCTGCCTTCTCTTCAAGTTCTGACAGTCCGCGGCAAAATCCCACGGTTTCGAATGTGCTTGCTCGTATCAATTCGGTGGATCGGATTTGGCCCTCACTCAATCAGGTTTCCCGATTTCTGAGTCGCGAGGATATAGTTTCAGTTCTTCAGTCCCAGGCAAGATTGGGGAATAATCCGATAATTTGTTTTCGATTCTTCATTTGGTCTGCTTGGAAAGCTCGCTTACGAAGCGGCCTCTCGCGGAAAATAATTGTCGATATGCTTGTGAGCTCCTGCGAATCGAATTCATTCGATTTGTACTGGAGCGTTCTCGATGAATTGAGTAGCAAGAAAATCCCCATCCCTGCGGATGCATTTGCGGTGTTGATGTTAGGTTATTGGAGATTGGGGAAAGCGGAAAAGGCAGTGGCGACATACAGTAAGATGAAGAACTATGAATGTGAGCCAAATTTAGCCGTTTACAATGTGCTGCTGGATGTTTTGGTTAAGAAGGGTGTGATTTTGCTGGCGATGGCGATTTACAACAAGCTGATGAAATCAAATTTGATGATGGGTTGCGATACGTATAACACTTTGCTGGATGGACTGTGCAAGAGCGGGATGACAAAAACCACACTGAAACTGTTCGATGAAATGACTGTGAGAGGAATCTCTCCAAACAGGATTACTTACACAGTGATTGTCTCAGGATTGTGCAAGGAGAAAAGGACAGACGAAGCCTATAAGCTTTTTGAGGTGATGAAGAATAATGGATGCAGGCCAGATGCTGCTACATACCATGCTTTGCTTAGTGGGCTCTGTAAGTGTGGCAAGATCGACGAGGCCCTAATGCGATTCGAGTCGATTGTGAATGAAGGTGATGTAATTGGGATAGAGGGTTATAGTTGTTTGGTTGATGGTTTGATAAGAGCCAAGAGGATTAGTGAGGCACAAGAATTGGTTCGCAAGGCTTTTGAAGTGGGTATCGTACCTGATGTTGTCTTGTACACAATCATGCTGCGTGGATTATGTGAAGCCGGAAAGTTGAAAGAGGCAACAGCTATGTTGCAAACGATGATTGAAGTAGGTGTCGTGCCCGACACTCAATGTTATAATGTCTTAATCAAAGGCTTTTGTGACATGGGGCTGTTGGATGAAGCTCGATCTCTGAAACTGGAGATTTCCCGGCACGATCAGTTTCCCACCACGTACACTTATACGATTCTTATTTGTGCTTTGTGCAGGAATGGTGTGGTGGGGGAGGCTCAGCAGATTTTCAATGACCTAGAGAGGGTCGGCTGCTCCCCTTCCATTGTGACTTTCAATGTTCTTATTAATGGGCTTTGCAAGGCTGGTGAGCTTGAGGAAGCTAATTTAATGCGTTACAAAATGGAGATCGGGAAAAATCCTTCATTGTTTCTCCGCCTTTCACAAGGCTCGGATCGTGTCCCTGATAACACGAGTCTGCAACAGATGGTGGAGAACTTGGTTGACTCTGGGGATGTTCTTAAAGCTTACAAGCTTCTTACCCAGCTTGCGGATCATAGTGGTGTTCTTCCAGACATTATAACATACAACACACTGATCAATGGTTTCTGCAAAGCTGGGGAAGTTGATGGCGCTCTTAAACTGTTTAATGAGCTCCAGATTAGGGGACTTGTCCCTGATTCGGTAACTTATTCAACACTCATTAATGGGCTCCAATTTGTAGGTAAAGAGGAGCACGCATTTAAGATGTTTGAGAAAATGGATGAAAATGGGTGTGCACCTAACCAATCTGTGTATAAAACACTTATGACTTGGTGTTGTAGAAGGTCGAAACTTTCTGTTGCTTTCAGTATTTGGTTGAGATACTTGAGGAGTTTAGCCGTCAAGGAAGAAGCTTTACAGTTATCTGAGGAATATTTTAAGAAAGGTGATATGGTGAAGGCTGTAAAGAGCTTACTTGAACTGTGTGTTGAGTTGCCGGATTTTGACTCATCCCCTTGTAACATTTGGCTTATTGGATTGTGTCAAGGCAATAGAACGGAGGAGGCCCTGAAGATATTTTCCCTTCTTGAGGAGTTCAATGTTGATGTATATGCCCCTGGATGTGTGAATTTGATTAATGCTCTATGCGCTGTAGGAAATCTCAATAAAGCAGTTGATGTTTTTCTCTACACTATGAAGAAACGCTATCTATTGAAACCAGGAGTTTGTAACAGTTTGCTTCGGCATCTTCTCAATTCAAAAGATAAAGCACCAATAGCGCATGAACTTGTTGATAGAATGCAGTCAGTGGGTTATAGTGTAAACTCTCATATTTATCCTGTAACAAGATCCCTTCTTCGTGAACCTTTGTCCGTGCAAAATAGAGAAAAGGCAGTTGGATAGATTGCCTGTACCTGTATTCACTTGTGTTATTCTATTTTTGTCACTTTAAGGTGGTGGCAATGTCACAGGGATCAAGTTGTGGTGAGGGCTTATGCCTACTCCGCTTTTCTCATTTTTGAAATATAGTTTGCTGACTGCACCATACCTAGTATTGATAAATTTCTCACTTGATGTATTTTTCGAGGGTATTATCTTTATATTTTTATTAAGTTTTTACAATTGATCTTTATCCGTCGCTTGAAATTATTAAAATTCATTAAAGAAATCTATATCTTGGATTATTTTGAAATTTTTATGATTTTTGATATTGGGGTGGTATGTTATGGTGTGTTCTTTCCTTTTCATCCTCAGTTTTGAAATCACTGCAGATAAAACCCTAGGTTTTGTTGTTTCTTATAGTTTTTTATGGGAGGTAACAATTTTATATCATAAAAGATGGGATAAAATACATCTGAGAATGTAGAAGCTCCTAGTACATAGATAGGCACAGAAACATAGGAGTTGAGTATAGGGTATAGGGACCGGGGCTCTGAGGTCTGAGGAACCCAATTCTCTGAATCATTTGGCTACCCTTCTTGTGACAAAGTTAGCCAAATGTTTTCCGATCGGTAGATGTGATGAAAAGTGATGTTAGTTTGAATTCAATGTTCAAAGGAGCGCTAAATACAACAGAGTGCATTTTTGAGTCACTCAACCATAATTTAGAGCAATGAGTCTAACTGCCCCAAGACAACATGCTCAAGGACATATGAGACGGCACAAATTTAAGCAACATTTGAGTCCACTGACCTAATATGTTTTGATAGGCTGAACATGTGTCCGTTGTCCAAAGTGATCTCGAGTGACTGCAAGTCTGCAACATTTGTTGTTTATAGTGACATATACAAGTCTTGTTAACATCAAGCGTCTTTTTGTATTTGCTGTGATCCTATGCTCTTGCTTCTTGCCAACTTGAATGATTGAACTCGAGGACTTGTATATGATTCCATGGAAAATTTTGATAATGTGTGTGTAGCTTTAGGTGGTAAGTGTCAGGTGATCTTGATCTTCTATTCCCAAGATTTTTATGTAATTTCACTTGATTCTGAGAACAATTTCAAACAAAGGATATTTTTCCTGTTTTTGATAGCTATGAAGTCATGCTGTTTGGTAATTTTAAATCTTGTGTAAATTTTGCATTTATACGGCACTTTCCTGTTTATGTTGTTTCATCGTTGTTCTTTTGCCTTCGGTTTTGGACTTCTGAACCAATTAAGTTGAACTTTATATTTTTGCTCTCTGATCAGATTTGGCAGTCACTGCTGTATTTCTCATGCTGTTGCAATGCTGTGGCAGGGATATGATAGAGTTAGTTATTCACTTTGTTTCATTTTAATGGGCAGATTTCACTTCCAACCATCATTATGTTGTTGCTATCAGGTTTAAAAATGAATCTGGATGCAAAAGTCCACCCTCCTCACTCCTCAGCTGTAAGTATCTATTCTTGTTCTTAAAACATTCTATGTTGTATTTGATTTTAATGTTCATGTTTAAAAGGGAAACTAATATGAAGTTGAGTATAATGGAATCTAGTGCAGATATACTAGAAAGGGGATGCTTGTGAAAGTACGAAAAAGTGGCATGTCTGCACTTTTCAACTGAATTTTGGAAAGTATATACGAATGAGAATGAGTTTTTGGAATTTGCAACTGATACATATGAGTCCAGGATGATGATCAATGTATTGTCCATGATATTACCTCTGCTGAAGGTATGTATGTAGTATACTTTATGCATGACCCTCTCGTTAATTGTGACTCCTCTGGTTTACTTCCTTGGTGCTTTTTGGTCATCATATTGATTTATTGTGCTTAGTTTTGTTTTGGCTACCTTCATTATCATTAGTACAAATCAAATTTTAAGTGAATTTTTTTTTTAAATGCTGCATGCTTAATTGTTGGCTGCTACTGTTGTTGATGTCACTATATTCTTGCTGATTTATAACCTGAGGATTTAGGCCACAATTGCTTTAAGCTGCTGCATATGTAGTTTAAATCCTCATTTTCCATGTAATAACTATATTTTTAGCTTATAACTATTCTGCTTCAGGGTTCATTCTCCAATTGTTGTGAAATATATCCTCCAGTTATGAGAGCTAGCTGTTTGATCATGTGTAGCACCTTGTTCTTTAGTCTCACCTGCTACTATATATTGGAAGTTCTTGTAGCCAATGGGCTAGTCTTTTATTTTTATTTTATTTTATTTTTCGATCTATCTTAAATATGTTCCTTTATGTGGACTTGACATTTTATCATGAGATAATAAAAATGATGGTCTTAAATGAATATTGGAAAATTATTTCTGCCTGCTTGAGAAGTTAGGCGTTTACTTCCCGTACCAATTTTTCACTTCGCTCTAAATGCAAATAAATTGAGAGTTTGTTTTCGTCTGGAATGCAACTAATTAAACAAAACCATTAAAGAACACCGTTGGTCATATCTCTGTGGATAGGATATTATTTTACCTTTCACAATCCATAAATTATCATGGGCTTATGTTGACTTCTTAGCAAATCTTGCTGCTCAGGGTTGCACAAATTTTGCTAATGCTCCTGCAACTCCTATTTAGTTATATCTCCAGTTGGGAGATTGACTTTTAAATGCTTGTTTCCTAGATTCTTGTACTATGGGGTTAATTTTACATTTATAATAAGCTATATATATGTTCAAGAAATAAATATTGCCATGGGTTTAAGATTATACAGCCCTAGAGGAATATGTCTGCTATCGTGCTATGATGATGTTCTGATGGATTTATTTTTTAAAGAGAAACAATCCACTGCTACAAATAGAAATATAAGATAAGTAATCTACATCTGCTGAATTTGTTTTGGTTTGGAACTAAAACTAGGATAGAGAAAAATAGAGCACTTTCTTGGCGATGCACATTGGCACGGCTTGGTACTTTTATTTTGGAGTATGCGCAAAATTGGCCTGTGGCACTTATTTCTCTTACGTCACCTTCCCCTGTTGCACAACTCTTTGCTGCACTTACCAATTCAACATCCCATTTTTCTTGGTCGAAATATTCCTTTTTATGGTGCTAGCTAACTTTAACTATCTTTGTGTTTGTGTACCTATTCTTGTAGCAGTATAGAAGAAGCATTCTTATGTTTCACTCATTTGCGGAGTTTTCTCTCTCTCTTCAGGTATCGTCACTCTGGACAAGGGGAACCCATTTTAAGTACGGTGACAAGCCTCTGGTGTTTGCATACTTTCTCTGTTTTGGATCTTTATTTTCTTGTGGCCTTCTTCCCTTATTATACCATGGATTTCAGGGCTCTTTCTATGCCGTTATCATTATTCTAATTTCTTGATGAGGCAAGAGGCATCTCTTTTCCATATTTGTAGGATATTGAAGATCTCAGCACCTTTTCCCAACAGCATTTGCTTTGGTTCCATCGATTTTTATGATTATCCAAGCACTCATGTTGGACTTTGGTGGAGCAACATTCGCGAGTATGTTTTTGATATATCTTTTTCTTTGCTTTCATATTCAGTTTTGAGAAAAGTTCAAACCTTACTTCAGGAATGAGATCATTGCTATGTACTTAAAGCTTCTCTATATTCGACCTGCTTTTAATCTAAATCTTAGTATGGAACTTTGTCTATGCATTGCTACTGCTCGGATGAGAATCTATGTTAATAGTGCAAATGAATCTGTGGTAGATCCATTTATATTTATCTATTTAATGTTTTGAACTGATTTTAATCCGCCTTGGCTTATTTATTCTGCATAACTTGATAAAATTACCACGTCGAGACACATTTGCATGAAAATTTTAGATCTCAGACGTCATCATGTTTGTCGAATAGGTATCAGGTGCCCCTGCTGTGTGTGATTCTTGTTCTTCTCTAAAAAGAAATGAATCACTGTAAATCTCCGGCCTTGCTGCGAGAGCATATATATATATATATATTGTATCAAATGTTTTTCTCTGATCTAGGAAACAATGGATCGACCTTGTTCAAGCACCCGTGTTCTTTTGTTAGATCGATCACTGGACTTCGTTTTTTATCTTCAGCTATGATTATAGACACAGGTGAGCTACTTTTGAATTGATAATTTTTGTTTTTATTGTTGGTAGAAGAAAATCGAAATGGCATGATGCCGTGTGGGATTTGAGATCAAATGTTTTTTGTTCTACTTGGAGTTTAGCAGCAAGGATAGAATCGATTTGCGAGAAAAAAAAATATGTATTTGACTTGAGGATATGTTTTTATGTTAAAAGTAATTTTGGATATAGGTAAACAGAGCCTTGGTTTGTGAATCAATTTTTGTAAACAGAAAAAAAAAAATCTTTGGATATACTCCCTCCGTCCCATATCTATATGTCTATTTACTTAGTTTTAGAAATATTAGTATTATATTAGAATATAGTAGAAATAAAAGTAAAAAGACTAAATTGCCCTTGCTAGTATTGTATGATATAAAAGTAATAACATTTGTGTAATATATTATAAATTGGAAGAAATTGGAATAAAAGTAATAACATTTGTGAAATATATTATAAATTGGAAGAGTATTTGTAATGTTAAGTAGATTAGTATAGTTACTAAAAATGGATACTTTGTTATGAATTGACGAAAATAAAAAAATGGATAGATTGTTAAGGGACTGAAGTATTAGTTAAGAATTAAACTAATCTTTAATTCATGGAAATTATGTACAACTAAATACTCTCTCCTTGTGCTTCATAAATATATATATTTTTGTTATTTTTTTGTTCAAATAAAAAAATATATTTTTGTTAAATATATATTACAAATATATAAATTTCTCTCTATTTTTCTATTTGTGTTTTTTTTTTTTAAATAAATTTCTTTGGGTGAGTTGTAATTAATACTTAAAAGTATTTATATAGGAATTTAGGGTGAATTTATTTATGATTCTTTGTAAATTAAAAAAAAAGATTTGTATTCAAACAGAATTTATTAAAGTTTACAAATATATTATATTTAATATTTTTTTTTTCTCAAAATATTTAAAATATCAAAACAAGATAAAATCAATACATGAACTAAAAATGAAAAGCCATCCAAAGTGAACGAAAGACCCGAATGAAAAGTCGGATCCGGGTCACATTCCCATTCGAATCTATTCTTTTTTTTTAGCTGAAGGAATTTAGGGGCAAGAACGTGTTATTTATAAAATAAAAGGACCGGATGATAAATAAAAAACTTAACGAACAAGTCGAGGAGATCAAAACTGCGTCGTTTCCTTAAGCCGTCTGCGCTCCTCGTCAGTCTTGACTCTTGTGTCTGTGATTTTATCTGTCTGCCGCAGCTGATTCTTCGCGAGGTCTTCCCGCAATCCCTTCCGCGATTCATTCTATCCAAGGAAAATGTTCTTTATGTGTATGTGGTAATCCCCGCGTTACGTGTATTCGTTGTTTTCGTACTTTCGCAAGCTCGATTGGATCGAAATTTTATGGGTGTTGGAAAATTTTGGGTTTTTGCAGATGAAAGAAGCGAAGCCGTTTGTTTCAATTGAAAAATTGAGGATTGTGCGTTTTGAGCTGTTTGAGTGATCTGGGGGTTTTCAATTTGGGGATTTCGGGGTTCTAGGGTTTTATTTTTGGACTTCAACTGGAGGGGTTAGATGGTTAGGGTTTTGGTGCGTGGGAATCAGCAGTAGGAAATTTGGAAAGGAATTAAGCTGAATTGATGGTTGAAGCTTGGGTATTTTGTTTTGAGAAATTTGGGGAAAATGCAAAACAGCAGTCTTTATTATGCATGGGAGGTGTCAGAGGGAAGGTAAGGAAAGCAGCCCAAGTTCAGAAAACGGTATTAGTTGGCATATGCACTCAGCTGTAATTGCTTCGGATTCAAATTCGTTCTTCAAGGTAAGCTGATCTGGTGGTTCTTTGTTCTATTTTTAAAAGTTGGTGTGATGAATTCATTTTCCACTGGTGTCAGTTGATTTGTATTTTTTTAGAGAAATAGGTGTGTGAATTTATGGATTAGTTGGATTATAAATGTCTGTCTGTATGTTGCTTTTCACGCACTTATTTTAGGAGCTGTTGGTGAGACGGTTGATGTGAAGGTAATAATACTTGATTGTATGACATTGTCCATTTTCTCCGTGAAACGATTGAAGCTAGTTAATTACTGAATTTGGCCGGCGATAACCGAAATTCTGGTTTCCTTTTTCCTCATATTCTTAATCATTAGTTTTTATTTAGTAAAAGAATTGAGCCTGAAATTCTGCTATTTGCACTTTCATTGTGTTTTCTAGCTACACAATTGTTAACTTGATCTATCTTATATTTTTCTAATGGAGAATTATAATGTTCCCTCTTCTGTTAGGATGGCCGCAGAATTAGCCTTGGTGATTGTGCTCTTTTTAAACCACCACAGGATTGTGCGCCATTCATTGGTTTAATTTGTTCGCTGCCATCAAGCAAAGAGAACATTTTAAAGTTACAAGTGAATTGGATATATCGACCATCTGAAATAAAGCTTGGGAAAGGCTCATTGTTGGACAGTGCTCCAAACGAGATTTTCTATTCATTTCACAAGGACGAGATTCCTGCTGCCTCCCTACTTCACCCGTGCAAAGTAGCCTTTCTTCCTAAAGGTGTAGAGCTTCCGAAGGGCACATACTCTTTTGTGTGCAGACGCGTTTATGACATTGTGAACAAGTGTTTGTGGTGGTTAACGGATAAAGATTACATTCATGTTAGTTCTAATGCCAATACATATTTCCTGTTGCATACTGCATATTATTTTCCATGAAAGTGAAGGAATATTAAGAGTCATTGATACTTTTACAACTGAATTCTTACTCGAAAGCTCACTTGTTGACAGGGGCGGCAGGAGGAAGTAGAGCAGCTTTTATACAAAACAAGGACAGAAATGCATGCAACTTGTCAGCCCGGTGGTCGTTCTCCTAAGCAAGTTAATGGTCCTACATCAGCCTCACAAATGAAAACTGGTTCTGACAATGCACAAAATACGGGGACATCTCAAGTCAGGGGAAAGAAGAGAGAAAGAAGTGATCATGGTGGTGCTGATTCTCTCAGAAGAGAACGCTCTTCTAGGACGGATGATGCTAGTTCGGCTCTGTATAAAACAGAAAGCAATATAAAAACTGAGATTTCAAGGATTTCTGGGAAAGGGGTCATCGATCTGGAAGGGGTGGATAAACTTGTTCAGCTAATGCAGCAAGATAAAATGGAGAGAAAAATGGATTTTAGTACTCGTTCAATGCTAGCTAATGTAATTGCTTCTATCGACAAGGTTGAGTGCCTAAATCGTTTCGTTCAACTCAGGGGGTTGACCGTATTGGATGATTGGCTTCAGGAAATTCATCAAGGGAAGAATGGTGATGGTGGTAGTGCAAAGTACGGCGACAAATCACTGGAGGAGTTTCTTTTGGTTTTACTTCGTGCACTGGATAAACTTCCAGTTAATCTGCAGGCCCTTCAAATGTGCAACATTGGAAGATCTGTGAATCATTTACGATCACATAAAAATACGGAAATTCAAAGGAAAGCACGGGCTTTGGTTGACACATGGAAGAAACGTGTTGAAGCTGAAATGATTAGTATTGATGCTAAGTCCAGTTCCAACCAACCTGTTGTCTCGTGGCCTTCCAAATCACGCCTTCCAGAGGCATCCCATGTAATTAGAACTCAGAGTGGATCTGATGTTGCCATGAAAAGCGTAGTCACTCAGAATTTGCCAGCTAAAACTTCACTCCGGTCTTCACATGGGGAAAATAGCATAAAACAGGAAACGTCTTGTGGGTCAGTAAAACAAGCCTCTTCACCTTCATCTGGAAAGGAGAACCAGCTTAGAACATCTGTTAGTGTCAGTGCTGGTGCCGTTCAAAACAGGGAGGACAGAAGTAGTAGTTCCATCCAGTCTCATAATAACAATCAGTCTCCCTCGCCAAGAGACGACCAAAAGAGTTCTTCAAGTGGACTGGCTATTAATAGGACATCAAACCATGGTACCCGTAGTAAAAAAAGTAGTATTGTCTCTGAGTCTGGAAGTCAGAAGGAAACCAGTTCTTGCAAGAGTTCGGCGCACAAAGGTTCTGCTGTAGAGAAGCTACCACAGTCTTCCTTAATTAGTGAAGAAGTGCTCGATGGATCTGCTGGTGAAGGGAATGGTCATAAACTAGCTGTTAGAATTTCTAGTAGGGTAAGAAGTCCTGCACAAGTCGGTGGGGGATCTCATGATGATCCTACCTTCACAAACAGCCAAGTTTCTTCTCCTATGCAGTTAGATAAACACGAGCAGCCTGATCGTGCGTCACTGGAGATGATTGATTCAAATCGATGCAATGTTTTGTCTGATCTGAATACATTGCAAAACAATGAACAAAAGGTTGTGTTGGCTGGGTCAGAGGGTGTTGGGGCCCGAGCAGTTCCACAGCATGAAGATCAAAGTATGACCATTGAAGTACAGAAGAAAATTACAAGAGGAACTTTGAAAAATAAGGTGGAGCAAGTGAAATTACACAGTTCTTTCAGCCCCATGAATGCTCTAATTGAGAGCTGTGCTAAATATGCGGAGACATCTTCGTCATTATCAATTGAAGATGATGTTGGAATGAATTTACTTGCCAGTGTGGCTGCTGGAGAAATGTCCAGATCTGACATGGTTACACCTACAGATTCTATGGAAAGAAATAGCCCAGCAGTCGACCAAGTTTGTGCTAGTGATGAAGCAAAATCTAAGGGTTTGCAGGATGAATACGGTGCTGGAGTTAAGAATCAGCCTTCAAATGGTGCTGAATGCAATGGCAAGAATCAGGCCGTTTTAGATGGTTTTTCCCGATATGTTGATGGTTTCGATTTGTCTAAACATGTGACTCCTGAGGCTTCTGGTGACAGAAGAAATGTTCTGCCTGAGACCAATGAAGAGTTGCCACCTACAGGGGCCGATGACCTATGCTCTTCCAAAATGGATTTATCAAGCAATGTTGTTACTAAATCGGAGATTAGTGAGCAACCCAAGGCAAACACAGTTGCTACTTCTGTGGCACTTACTGTTTGTATGGAGAAGGTAAGAGATGGAGAATCAAATGAGCAAAGTAGTGATGAGAAGGCAGTTTCTAGTAGTGTTACTGTGGAAGGTGTTTCAAATTGTATAAGTGCTAGAGGTGATGATTTGGTGGACATGTCCCGATTTTTACATGGGGTATCAACACGATTGGATCAAGGCAATGGTGACAAGATCTTGGAGGATAGATTGGACTCGAAAATCAAATCAGATGAGGAAGTACCCATTGTAAAACTACCTACTTCAGCTTTTAAATTTGAATCTAAAGAAAAAGCTAGTGATGAAAAACTGCTGCATCAGATTGAACAGAAACCTACTCTACAAGCTGATGGTAAAATACTCAAAGGAGAGTCTGATGACAACGATGATAAGAGTCGCCTGAGCAAGCCTGAAAAACTTGACTTTGATACAGAAATGGCTGGAAATGCAGCTGGTGACCACAAGGATGCATCTGGTCTGTGTTCCACATCTGATGATCCTAAGAGTCATTGTGGAGAAGCAATTCCCAAAAGCATGGAGATTCAGGAACGAACATCACTTCTGCAGAGTCGGACTCCTGGTTCTTTGGAACCTAAAATTGTTAAGGATGCTGGGTTGACAGTATCTAAATCTGTCAGTGTTCATCCAGATGAGGCAGGTGAGTCTACTTCTACTGGTGCCGAGACTACTTCCTCTTCCACAAGAACGTCCAATGGATGTGCTAAATTAACATTCGACTTAAATGAAGGTCTTACTGCGGATGATGGGAAATATGAGGAGTTAGTGACTTCAACATCCCCTGCTTCAGAAACTGTTCATGCGACTAACTTATTGCCATTTTCTCAGAACTCTTTACGCAGTGGCCTTTCTTCCTCTATAACTGTAGCTGCAGCTGCCAAAGGGCCGTTTGTTCTTCATGACGACATGATGAAAAGTAAAGTTGAGTTTGGATGGAAGGGTTCTGCTGCTACTAGTGCATTTCGGCCTGCTGAACCTCGAAAAACAATTGAATCGCCACTCGGTTCAGGAAATGTGGCTTGCCCTGAAGCTTCTTCTACCAATAAACACGGACGAGTTCCTTTGGATTTTGATCTTAATGTGCCAGATGAAAGAGTTCTCGAGGAAATAGCTTCTCGAGGTTCTAATGTTGCTGTTGATATGTCAAGTAAATCTTCGATTCAGAATGAAGCATCAAACACTATGACAGTACATAGTTTTGGAGGGCTGGATCTTGATTTGAACCGAGCTGATGAAACATATGGAAATGGACACTGTTTGACCAGCAGCAATTGTAAAGGAGAGGGTCCCAGTGCGCATGTTGAACCGTTTGGTCTCTTACCTTCTGGCGATACCTGTAGGAATTTCGATCTCAATAACGGACCCATGGTGGATGACATTAATGGCGAACATTTCTCTATAAATCAACTCGTCAAGGGGGGAATCGTATCTCCATTACCTTCTGCAGGTCCTAGAATGAATGCTCCAGTAATCGGCAGTATCTCATCATGGTTTCCTCCCGGAGATACTTACTCAACAGTTGCAGTCCCTTCAATATTACCCGATCGAGGCGAGCATCCTGTTCCAGTTTTTCCAACCAGTGCCCCTCCTCGGACATTTGGGCCAGGCAGTGTTGCCCCATTCAGCCCTGACGTGTTACGCGGGTCGGTACTGTCTTCGTCGCCTGCTGTCCCGTTCCATTCCAGTCCATATCAGCTTCCTATCTTCCCTTTCGGGACCCCTTTTCCATTCCCATCTGCAACATTTTCAGTCGGCACCACCTCTTATGCATCAGATTCATCATCAAATGCAAGGATGTTTGCACCTCCGGTGAATTCACAGTTTCTTGGTCCTTTCAGTTCTGCTGCATCTCAGTTTCAAAGGCCGTACGTAGTCAGCCTTCCCGACAATGGTGGCCTGGAAAACAGCAGAAAATGGGACAGACAGGGTTTGGACCTCAATGCCGGCCCCGGGGGCATGGAGAACAAAATCAAGGGTGAGATGAGGCCTCTATCATCCGGCCAACGATCAGTTTCTAGTTCACAGGCATTAGCCGAAGAGCAGGCAAGGATTTTTCCCATTTCAGGTAATACTATTTCGAAGAGGAAGGATCCCGAGGGAGGCTGGGACAACGAGGCGCTAAGACACAAGCAGTCTTCTTGGCAATAGAATGTATGCTTTGGGTGCGTACCAAGCACAAAACACAAAGTTATGGCGTTAGTTTTCAAGCGCATTTCTCATTTTTATCTAGCTAAATGAACTTAACTTTATGATGGATGAATTTCGTTCGCTTCTTTACACATCAGGTTTGCTGTTGTCTAAACTCGACAATGAATATATTCCTTCACCATGAATTTATCTATCCTGGCAAAATGTTTTCCGGTTTATACACTTTCGTTTTCACTAATATATTGCCTTGTTTGTGCACGCTTCCTCGAATAGTGGATCAAGATTCGGACAGTCAGCATCGTGATATGGATTACTAATTCCCCAACCCTGCTATGAACAGTCGGTGAGCCTTTCTTTCTCAGACATGATCGAAATCGTATATATATGCTGGCTGAATATAGGATAACAATTCCATGTCATGGGCAGTTTATTTTTATTTACAATCTGGTATTGTATTGGTGATTTTTGTTGCTAATCTGTCGATATCATGTTCCCCAGTGTTCTTCATGTTGCTGATTGTCTGTATCTATGCTCCGATGAGGATGGGCTGAGCGCGTAGATTTTCATTTCATGTATGATCTATCTGTATGCTCCGGCAACGTTTGTTCAGTTCGGTTCCATTCCGACGATATTTGAGCTTGGGGAGAAGAGAAGAAGACATTGTCCTGATTGTAAATATGTTCTTACTGGTAGAGGACAGCGATGAATGATAAAAAAAAGAAAGTGGAGTTTGATGATCCATATGATGAGTTGGTTGTTGTTGTCTTTAGAGCTGGCTGCCGGAATATCTCGCCTTTCTTCGATCGATGTTTTTATCTATCACTAACCGCCTTAGCCGAGCCAACTCGCCGAGCCGAGCCGAGCAGCCCTCAGCTCGGTAAGTTCTATTAGTAAAGCTGATAAACGATTCGAGCTGTTCTTGAATTTGGTTCGATTTGGTTCGTTTTAAATATATGAAATTATTGATTAATTAATAAACAAATTATTATATATAAATGAAAAATAAAATACAATAATTCAAACAATAAAATTATTTATTGAATCAAATGTTTGACAAATAAATGAGAGCATAGTTCGTGAATATTATCTTACGTGAAAATGCTACAGTAGGCGAGATTGCAATATTAATATGTGGCAATAAAGAAAATGGAGCTTAGTTTACATATACATTTTCAAATGATATTATTTTTTTAAAAATATTATATTATGGTGATGACATATTACAATTTTAAAATTTATTCTTCAACAATTTAAAGATTTTATTGATGTATGTTAAACCTAATTATGATCTTTTAAAATGTACTATATTTATTTTTCGCATAGGTAACATTAAAAATATTTTTATATTTATATAATTTGTATTATAAGACTTATTTTTCAATTATTTTTTAATTTGTACTATATTTTGATATAATAGTAAATTTAAAGTATTCAAATATATTAAATATATATTAAACTATTTACTCATTTTAATCTAAAATTATTTTTATTAAATTATAATCAATTTTACTAATACACTTTTTAATTACTCATTAATTATATAATACTTAAAATTCCATGCCTAATCTAAATAGGACAAAATAGTGGGAATGGAGGGAGTAATATTTATGTACTGAAATCATATATTCTTGCTGTTAGAATATAAAATTGAAATTCTCTTTTTCAATTGTAAGAATACGTACATACTTATAGTGATATATAAATCGTCTAAATAAGATAAAAATTCTACAAATATCTTAAATAAGACAACTTTCATAATATATTGTTTCTAAATATATTTTAATACACCTTCTCAAACTCAAGATAAGATCTAACAAACTTGAGTTTGTCAGAAATGACTGAAAAAAATATAGTCGAGATCTTCCACGTACAAATTTGAATTCGTCAAGATTAACTGAAAGTGGTGTAGCCGTCCACAGAATTAGAGTCAGAAGCTGAATTCTCATCACCGTTAGAGTTGAAAATAGGACTCGCTCGCTCACAACGGAACTAGAGCCGAAAACAGGACTCGCTCACTCTATAGAGCTAAAGTCGGAAACAAGATTCGCTCGCTCATAACAGAGCTAGAGTCGGAAACAGGACTCGCTCGCATATAACAGAGCTAGAGTTGGAAACGGGACTCCCTCGCTCTCGATAGAGTTAGAGTCGAGAATATGACTCTCAACGACGTTAGAGTCGAAAGTATACTATGTCAGTGGAATAGTAGAGACGGAAACGATACAAAAATAACAACATGATCGTGGATTGAAACAAATACATTAATAAAATATAAAGATATATACGAGATATAATGGGTCATGAAGGTACCGGAGAGAATTTAGAATATGAAATTGAAATTCTCTATTTCAATCGTAAAAATATCGTGATATATAAATGTATAAATAAGACAAAAATTCTACGAATATCTTGAATAAAACAACTGCCATGATTTTAAATATATTTTACAACTTGCAATTAAAAGCTCATGGACATGTGACTTCTGCTAAATCTGGCCTAAATCGAAAACATACACATAAATACGCACAGACATTCTGGGTTTGTCTGCTCGTATATTTTAGAGTTGGATTAAAAATAATTATAATTTTTAAATTAAAATTATTGTTTGATTAATATAAATTTAAATAGATGAAAAATAACATTTTAAAATCACATTCATTCTTTGGAGTTTGGTTTCAGATTTTGATTTTAGCTTTTTCCGGAAGTATGGTGGGTTGTTTTTAGGGCCACTACAGGAAAGATCTTTATTTGCTTCGGAATTAGTTTTGGAATCAATTTCGAGACTATCAAAATATATAAAATAAATATTAAATTAATTAAATTTTGAAAAGTCTTGGATATTTAAAAATTCGAACTTATATTAAATATACATTTTAGTATATTGATTAGTTTAAAAAATTTCAAATCTATTTTGATTAGACTTGGCACCGTAGCGTTAGCTCGAGGCATTTTCTCTATTCCAAGGGTGCCTCACGTTCTTGAAATATTAACCTTCTTTCGGCTAATCTAGTGTGCTCCGTCCCTTAGAACAATAAGGGATAAGTATAGAAATATTCATCTGTTTTCCATCGACTATGCATTTCAGGTTATCTTTGGTTTGTTTTTTTTTTTTTTTTTTTTTTAATGAATTTGGAAAAAAATTGATTTGAATTTGGTATAAAAATAATGTTTGATAAGATGTTTTGTAAGAATTTTTTTTTTTTTTTTTCGAAAAAACACAGTCAAAATAGTAAAATTTGGAGAAATTTTGCTAAAGAAAGAGATCTTTAGTCCTTGTAATAATTTATTGGGTAATCTATTTTTTTTTTCCCGTAACTGACCCTCTTATCATTTTAGTCCCGTAAGTGGAGCTTGTCGCAAACTAGTCCTATAAGTAAAAAATGTTCATTGTTTTAGTCCTCCGGCGCCGGAGACACCTGCGTGGCTCGCCGGAGGACTAAAATAGGGAAAATTTTTCACTTAAGTGGACTAAAATGATAATGGGACATATTACCCTAATTTATTTATTTATTTAGAGAAAATCACAATAATTTCATAATAAAAGAATTGAAACCAAACTATTCAAAGAACATAGCCTATAATTCTACTATTCTAGTCATTGCCAAATGATCGATTTGGTATTATATATTAATAAAATAGATATGGGATTGATTTAATCTCTCTAATATAATCACCTCCAAGGAATAATTGATTTCTAAGAAAAAAAGCATGGTAACATGTTTCCTGCATCTTCATCTTCTTAATTAATTTATTATTACACACACACAGGCATTTGGTGATGGAATCTTCAATAACCTGTTTTATAAATTCATTACAGTTCCTAAATTCATTACTACTTCCAATCATTATATAATTTTAAATTTCACAGACTTCATCACAAGTAGCAATTGATTAGTTCATTTTTAGTTTTCCAGTCCAATTTGCAGCTAGGTAGCTTAGATATCATATGGCTGTCCTGTCCTCCACATGAACCCTAAAATTTTCAATATTAATTTCAACACAGCCCCCAAATTTTTACCTATAAAATCCCCAACTTTGTGTGTCCCAATTCCCATCAAACACATTAATTCATCAATCGAATAATTAAATCCAAAACCCTAATTCTTAATTCTACAATGGCTTCTAAAGCAGCTGCCCTAATTTTTATCCTTTCGAATGTTCTCTTTTTTGCAATGGTGGCCTCATCATCATCAGATCTTCCAGCTCTCTCAACTGAGTGCCAAAGCTGCACCAAGCCAGCCAATCCCGATCACCATCACGGCAGCCATGGCGGCGGCGGCAAGTGCCCCACTCTAAACTTGGGTGTGTGTGCCAATGTGCTGAACCTGGTGAAATTGAAGATAGGAAATCCTCCAAAGGAGCCTTGCTGCAGCCTGATCCCCGGCGTGCTCGATCTTGAGGCTGCCCTCTGCCTCTGCACCGACATCAAACTCGACGTGTTGGGCATTGTTAAGCTCAACCTACCACTCTCACTCGAATTGCTTGTGGGCCTCTGTGACATTAAGCTTCCCAAGGACTTCAAATGCCCAGCTTAATTAGAGATTTCGATCAATCTACCTTGATATTTTTGCAATATCCATCTCACTACTCTTTTGGTTGTTTGTTGATTTATTATTTTAATCTGGTCTAGGGTTTGTTTTTCGACGTCGTTATCATCGTCTCAATGTTATTACATAACATTGCTGGCTGTATAGAAGGTTTCTGGCCTTCTAGCACAGTAGTCAGCAATGGATTTTTAATTAGCCTTTGCATTTAATTATTAAATTGAATGTTTCTTTAATTTATTTGTAAGTTTCTCCAATAAATATCTAATAAAAATTCTATTTAAATCAAAATTCAAAATGCAAAATTCAAATCAAACTCTTAAATAAACGAACCATAAGTCTTATCGATTGAAATTGGATCTCCAGTATCGTTCTACTTAAGTATATAGAGATTAAATGATCATTCATGCAAATATATATTATGCTAATTAAACCATCATTCCTGGACTTGATTTAATTATATTTATTTAGTTATATATAAGCAAAGCTAATGGATGATTGAATACTATTTTATTGACCTGCATGATTCAAAATTATATATATATATATATATTTCTTATACCTCACATAGAAAAAAATATACCAAAAACCCAAAATTCTAAACAAACAAACCCTAAACTCAGATCACACATTTACATTACTTATATTATTTTCTCCAATAACCCAAAATTATAGTACATTGTTTTAATTTTTATCTCACTCAATCTATACAAATTTTTTTTAGGGTGGATTTGTTATAAAGAACGAAATTAAAAATAATATATAATAGCAGATAATGGAATTAACAAGAGAACAATAAAGTTTTGATAATAAGAATTGATTCTTATATTTCGTAGAACAAATAATTCAACCCGAAAAAAATATAACAAAAGAGTTAATTATCATTGAGTGTGTTTTTGTTTGTGTTTAACTATTAGTTGAATAAGATATTTTATAAGATCAAATTTTATATTAATATAGAAAATCATGAATATTGTATAGTTAAAAAATGTCAAATATTGTATAGTTAAAAAATGTCAAAAAATTTCAGAGCAAGTACTTGCAGCTTTTTTGTATAATTTTGTAACATGTATGTATAAACATATACATATATATTGTATAATTGTATGGAAAGAATTAGTTATAACCTACTTATGGTTTGAAAAATCTGTATTTTTCTCTTTTATGATTTAAAAATTTTGCATGAAATATTTTTATATTTTAAAAAATATTTCACAAAATTCAATTTTTAGGAGATTACAAGGGAGTCTCATGTAAGTTTTAGGAGATTCTAATTTATATGTAATATTTTTCAAAATGCGAGAAAATTTTATACAATTTTTAAATCACGAAAGAGTATTGATATCGAATTTTGAAACAAGTAATTATGCAATTTTGCCAATTGTATGAGTGAGTAGGTTGGGTGGGTGGTAGGGATGTCAAATGGGGCGGGTTAGCCCCGGACCCGCTCTTAATGGGGTAGGTTTGGGTCTAAATAATATGTTTCGGGGCGGGTTGTGGATTTAAAATTCTAAACCCGGCCAGGTTCGGGACGGGTTACGGGTTTTACTAAAAATCCGCCCCAACCCGAACCCGGATATTTTTTAAAATTATTATAACTAATATATATGTACATTTATATAATAAAAATATACTTATTTATTTACTTAAATAATTTTAAATATAAAATTCAATTAGTCGTCTGCTCCAAATAATTTTTTAAAATTATTATACCTAATATATGTATATTTATATAATAAAAATATATTATTTATTTATTTATCTTATTTTTATGGATCAATATTTGATTGTTCTTAGATTTTTTTTTGGTACTTTTAATGCTATTTGTTTTAGTATTCGATTGTTAAAAAAATATTTATTATTATATATTTTAAGAAAAAACGAGTTTGTCGGGTGGAAGCGGGACGGAGCGGTTTTCGAAGCCTAATATTTTCTAGAGGGGCGGATCTCGGGGCCTGTAGAACCCGTCCCGAACCTGCCCTGTTGACATCCTAGTGGATGGGCAATAAGGTTTGGAATAATATTAAAGAATAATAATGAGAGTGGAAATTGGCACCACTCCCATTTCTCTAACTTATCTTTTTTTTTTTTTTTTTTTTTTTATTTTTTTATTTTTTATTATCAACTACTCATTTGAAGACAAATAATTTATATATGCACTTTGGAAACACTACTGCTACTACTACTGTTTTTTCACTTATTTATTTGAGACATACTATGCAACCATGTTGTCTTACTGTTACACCTACATTGTATCTATATATATATATATATTTATATATTTAATTTGCTTGTTTAGATAATAACATTTATAACCCTAATTACAATAATCTATATGTAATAGCTAGGTTAATTTGTACAAATAATGCAATAGTGATTCGTTTTAATTATAAATCAGCTACACAAAAGTTAAAAGGATTGTTCGGTTTGTAGTTGAGTTTGAATTCTTTATTTGATTTTTAATTTAAATAATATTTTGATAAATGATAATTTACGAAAAAAATAATACTACCTCCGTTCTATTCTAAGGGTCCCATTTACTTTCTGCATGTTGATTTTTGAATATTAATTATTATAAGAAAATATGGTACAAATTAAGAGAAAATGAAAAAAATATTTCTATTAGTGTCTTATAATACTGTTATAATGACATTTGTGTAAAAATTTATACAAATATAAAGATATTTTTATTTCAAGTACAATGACGCAAAATGTAAATAAAACCTTAGAGCCAGACGGAGGGAATATATTTTTATTGAAAACTATGCAAATTGAATGATAAATTTTTTGGTTTGAAATATAAACCAAACGAACCATAGGTTCATTACCACCAAAATTAGGACATTTTATCGCAAAAATCACATGATTTTAGATAATTTGGTGATTTCAATTGCTTTAAATTACATGTATCTCAATTCAAATGGAGAGAAAAACCTGTAATATTTATAAATAATTGCGTTTGAGTTTAGAGTTTAGGGTTTAATCTTCGAATGCTTTATTTATTTACGTAGGAATTGAATTTTAAGATAAACAATTTAAGTGGGAATTTCATTAAAATTTTGTTTTTGTGTTTTCGAATTAAACATAACGCATACATTAATATAGAAGTATAAGTAATCCTAATAAGCCTAAACCTATATATTTTCCATATATTTCTTAAAATAAATATATACAACAATATAAACACTACTTTTTATTTTTTATTTTTTAATTTCTAGTAAATATCCTATATTTTCTCTCACTTTTTTTTTTTTTTTTTTTTTTTTTTTTTTTTTTTTTTAACGTACTCAATCTATTATTTTACATATATATTCAACAATCTTTATTCATCAAAACAATATCACATTCCAAAAAATCTTATGCTCTTATAAAAAGCTAAAAAAAAAAAAACACAACTCTATAAGACATGTTCAATAATATATATACATATATATATATATATTAATACAAACAAACAAATTTGATTTACAATAGTAAATCATATGATTAATTTATTGAATGAAAGTATATTGTTTAAATTAATATTCGTTAGATAATGTAAATGTTTGTCTCACCAAAATGATTGAATGAAAGCATATTGTTTAAATTATTTTGTATGATAAGTGTATATTTCTTTTGTGTTCGAGTCTCACCGTCCATGTGCAAATTTCGTAATCCCGTAAAGAAAAGCTTTTAGGTGAGAAATCAAATAAAAACAACAAATAAAAATCAAAATAGTAAGGTTGTGTTCATATTGATGATTGTCGTCTTTTTTTTTTTTTTTTTTCAATTGTCAAGATTATATATAAAAATATAATACTCCATCTGTCCATAAGAAGAGTTCTATTTTTTATTTATGTCCGTCCCAAAACAAAGGTATTATTTTTTTTTAGTAATTGTATTACTTATCTAACATAATAAATATTATTACAACTTACAAATATTACACAAATGATATTATTTTTACATTATACAATACAAATAGGGTATTTTGTCATTTTTACTATAAACCAATATAATACTAATATTAAAAAATTTATGGACAAAAAATAAACATTGCTCATATTATGAGACGTAGGAAGTATTAATTTTTAAAAAATATCACATAGCCATGGTTCAAACTAAAAAAATTAAATAAAACAAATCATCACCTAAACACACCAAAATAATATTCTCTCCGTCCGCTTCTAAGGGTCACATTTACCTTTTGCGTCATTGTACTTAACATTAAAAATATCTTTATATTTATATAATTTTTTGTACAAATGTCATTTTATTAGTATCATAAGACACTAATAGAAGTATTTTTGCAATTTTTTCTTAATTTGTATTACGTTTTGATATAATAATTAATATTCAAAGATCAACACGCAAAAAGTAATAGGACCCTTATAACCGGACAGACGTAATAGTATATACCAATATCATTGATAAGATAACAATAGCCTTTGCAAAATCAATTTTGCCTCCGTGGAAGAATGCAAAATCAAAATCAAAATAAAAAGAGCAAGAGAACCATTTTCAGAGTACGGAAGAACAAATTACCCATGAATATAAGTGTGTTTGTTTGGGGATTGGATTACATTTCCACTATTCATTCTATTTTCCCCCCTTCCCCCCAAAAAATATCAAATCAAACACCTATTTTTCATTTTTTATATTATACTAAAAATCAATTTTACATTCAAAACATCACATCAACACCTATTTATATCACATCATGCAATTATTCAAATTCAAAATTTTTACTATTCAAATCCCAACTCAAAATTCAAACCCCCAAACAATCACACCAAGGAAATTAGACACAAATTAACTTGGCGAAACCATAGGCTGTATTTGGTTGTGTTTGGTTGTAGATTTGATAGTTGAGTTTTGAATTTTAAATAATTAGTGTTAAATGTAATGTTTTTGAAAAAAAAAAATAAAAACATAAAAAAGAAAAAATGAAAAAAAAAGTCTTATTCTCTTGTGTGTATAGTATTTACAAGTAAGAATACCTAAATGTTTCTATTGGCTAATCTCATATTAGTTTCTTTAAAATAATATAATAATAATAATAATAATAATAATAATAATTAAATTATTATTATTTTCATTTTTTAATGAGCAAAATTTCTTATAGCTCACATATGGTTTAAAAAGTTTGCATTATACTCTTTTATACTTTAAAAATTGCATGAGGTTCGTCCCTACTAGGGGATGGACTTGTGATCGCGAAGGTTATGAGTTCAAATTCCGATGCCTTCAGATTTTGTATTCCATATATAGTTCGTTAGTGTGACTTGTTTTGTGGAGCTTAATTTGCAGTCTATTAAGTTCGATCGAGAATTTACCAGAGAACACTCGAATAGTAGCGGCGGATTCCCATATCATAAAAGAAAAATTGCATGAGATTTTTCTATATTTTAGAAAATATTGCACAAAATGTATGTTTATACACATAATGTCTAGGGAGAGGGCTGGAACCCTTAATTTTGGGGCTGAGAATCCCTATTAACTTTACATAAGAAATACTACGGTATAATTAATTTAACCAACGGGATCAGGTGCCTGTGGTGAGTTCTTAAAACCTAATCACACTTGTTTGAATAATCCGCTGGACGCGGTGGGAGGGCGGCGGTCGCCAGAGGGATACAACGCCGATTTACGTTGGAGGCGCGAGCGGCTGCCATGCGCCGGTGGCGGCGAAAGCAATGTTGATTATAGTAGCTATGTCTATCTTAGATAAAAAACAGATTTTGATACCATATTTTAATATTTGCGAAAAATAGAAATTGTATATGAACAAAAAAAAAAAAAAAACACTATTAAATAATATATATAATTTAATTTATAAGCATCGACATAGGGGATTAATGCTCTAATCAATTTACTTAAGCAACAATATGGAGATCCAATATTAATAAGCGAAGACCCCAAAACTCCGATGTTTCTAGATTTTACTTGACACTCATAATTTGTCTAGTATCACTTCTATTGTTGACTTAATTTGAGATTATTAAATTTGAGAAGTTTACTTAGATTGCACTCGAAAAATAGTTTTTAATCTCACGTCATAAAAAATAAATAAATATATATATATATTATAAAGCGAAGCCTCGAAAACAATTGATGACTTAGTTAGAAGGCGAAAAACCTTCCTTACAGGCAGCAATAATGATTACATAACACGATCAAGATATTGACGACAACAACAAAGAAACCCTAGCTAGACCAGATTGCAAGACAGACTCTTGAAATAAGAAATCATAGAACGACCAAAAAAAAGTGAAAGATCATGCAAAACATATAATTAAGCATTTGAGAATAATTAAATTAGATCCTGTGGTAGATGGATGGATCGAAATAATCTGTAATTAATTAATTAAGCTGGGCATTTGAAGTCCTTGGGAAGCTTAATGTCACAGAGGCCGACAAGCAATTCGAGTGAGAGTGGTAGGTTGAGCTTAACAATGCCCAACACGTCGAGTTTGATGTCGGTGCAGAGGCAGAGGGCAGCCTCGAGATCGAGCACGCCGGGGATCAGGCTGCAGCAAGGCTCCTTTGGAGGATTTCCTATCTTCAATTTCACCAGGTTCAGCACATTGGCACACACACCCAAGTTTAGAGTGGGGCACTTGCCGCCGCTGCCATGGCTGCCGTGATGGTGATCGGGATTGGCTGGCTTGGTGCAGCTTTGGCACTCAGTTGAGAGAGCTGGAAGATCTGATGATGATGAGGCCACCATTGCAAAAAAGAGAACATTCGAAAGGATAAAAATTAGGGCAGCTGCTTTAGAAGCCATTGTAGAATTAAGAATTAGGGTTTTGGATTTAATTATTCGATTGATGAATTAATGTGTTTGATGGGAATTGGGACACACAAAGTTGGGGATTTTATAGGTAAAAATTTGGGGGCTGTGTTGAAATTAATATTGAAAATTTTAGGGTTCATGTGGAGGACAGGACAGCCATATGATATCTAAGCTACCTAGCTGCAAATTGGACTTGAAAACTAAAAATGAACTAATCAATTGCTACTTGTGATGAAGTCTGTGAAATTTAAAATTATATAATGATTGGAAGTAGTAATGAATTTAGGAACTGTAATGAATTTATAAAACAGGTTATTGAAGATTCCATTACCAAATGCCTGTGTGTGTGGAATATTAAATTAATTAAGTCGACGAAGATGCAGGAAACATGTTACCATGTTTTTTTTCTTAGAGATCAATTATTCTTTGGAGGTGATTTTATTAGAGAGATTAAATCAATCCCATATCTATTTTATTAATATGTATAATACCAAATCCATCATTTGGCAATATATATATATATATATATATTTATTTAACACAACAATATAATGTTGATTCATATTTGCAGGTGTATTGCATGAATATATTTGCCGAAATCAGTACTAACATGTGATACGTGGACAATGTTATGTGTTGTCAGTTTATATATTATATTTATATTATTTAAGATATATTGTGTGTTTGTCGTCATGGCGTGCAGTGTTGTCAGTATTGCGGAACAGGAAGCTGTAAAATGAAAATAAATTGAGTTGAAAATATCCTATGTCTGCAGATAAATTACATTCTGATAGTACTTCCAGTGACAACGTTTGTCTCCGGCTTAAATATCATCACAATAAGCCGGATCTTCTTCGAACAAAATCGAGGCTAAGAGCAAGCTGTGTAGGACTCGGATGCTTTGGAAAGAATGCAAAAATACTACGAGCAAGACAACCAATATGTTGTACATAAAGAATACAGACAAAACACTTTGAGGAGAGAATGTGAGATACTTAGCTTTTTTTTGTTTTTGTTTTATTTTGTTTGTTTGTGTATTCGACAACCAACTAACCTTGAAAAGAGAAGATAACATCTATTTTTATAGAAGAGCTCTATCATGGGGTTATAAGACCTATAATATCTTGTTGAAACTACCAAATAATAACATATGATATAATGGTCATTACAATGGCTATAAATAGAGAAAATTGTAAAAGAGATCTATTATCACTTTTGTCTTGTATTTATCTCGTTAACAAAATATATTCTACATGTTTGCAAAAATTTCTATTTATATCCTTTAACCGTGCGTGACGTTCACACCACGTGCAGTCACGCGTGATCACACGCGGCTATGCTTAGCCAAATGATATAAATAGAGATTTTTGCAAACATATGAAATATATTTTGCCAACGAGATAAATACAGAATAAAAATGATAATAAGATATACTATGAGAGATATTTTTTGCAATTTTCTCGCTATAAATACCATCTCTTAAATTCAAATCATGACCATCATGTTACAAACATTCAATCCATATTCAACTTTATGGATTCGGGTTTAATATGGTAGTTACTAATTTTTATACTCCCTCCGTCCCTTTTGAAAGGGACACTTTTGGAGTTTTGTAGTAGATTAAAAAATAGTAGTATTTTATTAGTTAGTGAAAGTGTGTAAGAGATTTTGATATTTTTGCCCTTTGACTTTTTTTGTATAAAGTAATTGTATGTTTGTAATTGCATGTGTAATGATATGTTTGTAATTTAAGTAAGAGTTAAAAGGGTATTTTGGTATTAGTATATGATTAATTTTTCTAAAATAGTAAAAAATTTTTTCAAATGGGACAAACAAAATGGTAAAAATAGTACTTTGAATTAAGATCGAGTGAATATTATTTTCAAATTTAATTATCTTTGGTTCATAGAACAAAATGAATTGAGGCCTTGTCTCACCTAGCCTAGTTCATGTTCCAGCTTTCAATCTCACAATTTCGACCAAAATCAGCCAGTGCACAAAATCAAGTTAAGTCTATTTTGGTTTAAGTCCAATTCTAGTCCAGTTATAGTTCAATCATACTTTATGTCCTCTATATAATAAATTCAGTTTAACTAGCTATAATCAATTTACTTGTTAATTAGCATCAAACCCCAATTAACTGATAATCCAATTAGTTAATTATTTTTCATGATCCATTATATTTTTCACTCACCAATTAATCGGCTTTTAAAACATATGTACTTAATTAAAATTTGAACAATCGATCAAAGTATTAACCGATTACAATAATTTTTCCCTCAATAATTTGAACATATGTAAATGAATTCACATCTCATTAGTGGCTGGCTAAAGTTAATATTTAAAACAATCTGATTGACTTAGAGACATCCCTATAACCATATTATATCATTGAGATAATCACTTCTAATATATTTTAGTATTTGGATATATAGTAAAAGATAATTCGCAGCCATAAAATATGATTTTAGAACATTATAATATTAATTATAAACAAGAAATTTTCTGAAAAAAAAAATATAATGTAGGTGTAACAGTAACACAACATTATTGTGGTATGTCTCAAATAAATAAGTGGAAAACAGTATTAGTAGTTGTAGCAATAGTGTTTGCAACGTGCATAAATTAATTATCTTCAAATGAGTAGTCGATAATAAGATAACTTAAAGAAATGAGAGAGAGCAAAATAACATGCCAATTTGCACTCACACCATATGAGTTTGTTAACATTTTGTTTTAAATGGCACAACCTATAAATATTATAAAATATTAATATAATATATATATATATATATAATATATAGACTTTATTCATTCACAAAAAATCAACAATTAAATACAAAATATTACTTTCTATTACTGAAATAATTCATCATATCTAACATAAAATAAATTCATTTAAAAAATACTAAGTGAACAAGCTCATTTTATTTAGCTCTAATTTTCTTGAGATTTGTAATTTAACTATACAATTCTCATGATATTCTTTATGTTAATATATTAATTTTTTCTTATAGAATATCACATTCAATTAATAGTTAAACACAAAACACAAACCAAAACACACTTTTGATGATATATATATTTCATATAGGTTAATGTAAAGTCGAAACTCTTATTTTATTGTCTAGTAAAATAATTATATAAGATATCAAGAAAGTAAATGAGATAATATTGAAATCCTAGACCCTACACTTAACTACTTTTAGTTTGAATTTGGTTGAATTTGTAATTATTGAATGCTTGGAAAGACATTATTGAATGCATTAGAACAATATTATACACATACTGCAAGGGAAATTAGAAAAAAAAAAAAAAAACACTAATACAATGAATTTGATGATTCAATTAGATTAAAATGATTTATATTTGGGGCGGCCAAATCAGATATTTGCACTAATAATATTTGACTTGAAGATGGAAAAGAAATGCTTGTTGAAGAAAAAAAAAAGTATACTTTCCAACAACACAATATAAGATGATGTTAGATACCTCTACGACGTGCAATATGTCCCTATTTTAGCCGATAATATATTACGTGTAAGACAATAGTTTCAAATAGATATTGTATTGTATTGTGTTTGACATCCACTATTTGCGATGAGCACAATCAAATTATTGCAACTATCTATATGACACAAAATCGAATAGATTTTTGAGGTTATGCGCATGAGAAATAATCAAGGGCTTTGTTTCCCACAAGTAAATCTTAAAGAACATCAAATCACCTTGAATTTGTGCATACCAATTTGTGTGGGTTGATTAATCGATACTTCAAAAGACATCGCATTACATATATATTTATATTATCAAAAAATCATATCAATTCAATTTTTTTTATGATTTCAGTATATTTTAAAATACCAAAATACAATAAGTTTACTTATGTGATAGATCATGTGTGAGAATAATTACAGTGCTAATTTCCTATATTAGCACACATAAAAGTATGCCATGTTCTATGTGTAATAAAAATAAGTGTTGTCTATTCATAAGTACAATGAGTGTGCTGTATAAAAGTATGTAATATGTTAAAATCAACTAGATGTGATGCATGGGACAATATTATGTATTATATTAATATAAATGATATGTTATCTATAGTAATACCGGGTGCTGTCTGTTAGCATACTATGTGTTGTCAGCATGGTGGCACCATAACCGCCTCCAATAAAATATATACTATCTCCGTTCCACCTAGCATATACACATTATCGTTTCTATCCATCACATATTTCATATCATTTTTTAAGAAAAATGATTACACACCTTAATCTCATTTTAAAATTTCTAATTTAATTTTTTTTTAAATTTTTTTAATTAAACTAATTAATTATTTTAATCTTAATTTATAATTATTTATATTATAGGATAATTAATTTTATTAATACATTTTTAATTATCTACTAATTATACTTATTCTAAATTCTCGTATATACAATAATATGGAACGAAGGGAGTATTTTTTTTCATCTATGATAATCAAATATTCCAACATTTTTTTTAAACCAATAAATTTTCTTTTGATATATATATATCTATATATTAAAAGTATATGTTGAACACTTGTTTAATTTTACACCTTTACTTAAATCGGCGAACAACCGAACCCTTGGGACCTTCTTCAACCCCAGGATGTGATGAGTCGACAAACCCGACCTTTATCGGGATAAGCCCAATTTCGCCCTTCGAACCGCTCGGGCTACGAATACTTGCAAAGAGCTTATTAGCGTATTCGTTCACTGCTGCCACTTCCTCATGTATGCTAATTAATACTCCATAATTCACTATTTTTTTTCTTAAAAAGAGATCAAATGAAAAATATATTTTTTATATTATACTTTAAAAATTCTATATTCAAAATATCACATAATTATCTATTTATATTACATCATACAATTATTAAAATTCAAAATTTTTACTATTCAAATCTCAAACTAAAATTCAAACTCTTAAACAAATACAGTTTGTCCCGCTCAAAAGTGTGTATATATATACACACACACACACGTATAATAGGTAGATTAAAAAATAATATTTTATTAATATGTAAAAGTATGTATAAAGTTTCGACAATTTTGTCCTTTGAAGTGATAGGCAAAGTCCTCAATTTGTATATTTGGATTTTATATAAAAGTTAAAAATATTTTGATATCTATCTATATAAAAACTATTTTCTGAAGTGTTTGGTAGAGGAAATAAAAGTAGAGAAATGAAAATGTACGTAATTGTTTCCATAGATATGAGAGTTTAATATTGAAATCTAAAGAATTTTTTCTTCTTCATTTTTTTCAATTCTCTCCTGAATGTGGAGAGATTAATGGAGATATATAATTGAATTTCTGGGGGAAAAAAAAAACAGAAACTTATATGTTATCGTCTTTTAATTTTGCACTAAAAATTGATCTCTTTGAACGTTTCCCACAAATATTCTTCTCTGTTGTCATGACATCGACTATTGCAATTGGAGTGTTCATTCTCTAAAATAGTAGAGTTTATCAACAGACTGCTTTTTATTGACTAAAATATTTTAAAATTATTAATTTGTGCATGATTTTGTATATATACTATTTATTTGAATAAATGATAATTAACTATTTATTATATTTTTTTATTGAATTATCTATTTTTTCAGATATAAGAATCAAGTCTTATTATCAAAATTTATTTTCTTTCTCTGGAAATCCATTATTTGCTATGATTTATTTGCAATTTTATTTTATTTTTATAGGGAATACACCATAATAGAAAATGTATAAATTGTGTGAAATGAAAATAGAAAAATGTATGATTTTTGGGGAGCTGGAGGAAATAATATTATTGTAAATTTGTGATATGAGTCTAGTGTATATATATATATATATATATATATATTTTTTTATGACGTGAGAACCCGGCCAAACCTAATACCCTGCAAAGCGACCCCTACACCACTAGACCATTCCTTACGAGACTATATATATTTATTTTAATTTTGAATCATGCAGGACAATAAATATTCAATCATACATTTACTAGCTTTGCTTATAAATAAAAAAAAATAAATAAAAATCAAAGTCCCTGGACGATGATTTACCATAAAATTTGCATGAATGATCATTTAGTTTCTATATAATTAATTAAGTAGAACGATCCTGGAGATCCAATTTCAATTGATAAACTTAGGGTGTGTTCGGTTGTAGGATTTTGATAAAATCCTACTATTCATTCAAAATTTTTCCCTCAAAAATATCAAATCAAACACCTATTTTTTATTTTTATATTATATTAAAAATCAATTTTACATTCAAAACATCACATCAACGCCTATTTATATCACATCATACAACTATTCAAATTCAAAATTTTTATTATTCAAATCCCAATTCAAAATTCAAACCCCCAAACAAACACGCCCTTAATGGTGCCTTTATTTAAGGATAGGATGTAGATTTTGAATTTAAATAGATATTTTATTAGATATTTATTCGAAAAACCTTCAATTTAAAGAAACATTCAATTTAATAAAAAGTGCAAAGGCTAATTAAAAATCCATTACTGACTCATGTGCTAGAAGGCCAGAAACCTTCTATACAGCCAGCAATGTTATTACAGAACATAGCGACGAAGATAACGACGACAACAAACAAACCCTAGACCAGATTAAAATGAATAAACCAACAAACAACCAAAAAAGTAAAATAGATATTGCAAAACATCGAGGTAGATTGATCGAAATCTCCAATTAAGATGGGCATTTGAAGCCTTTGGGAAGCTTAATGTCACAGAGGGCCACGAGCAATTCGAGTGAGAGTGGTAGGTTGAGCTTAACAAGGTTCAAGACGTCGAGTTTGATGTTGGTGCAGAGGCAGAGGGCAGCCTCGAGATCGAGCACGCCAGGGATCAGGCTGCAGCAAGGCTCCTTTGGAGGTTTTCCAATCTTCAATTTCACCAGGTTCAGCACATTGGCACACACACCCAAGTTTAGAGTCTGGCACTTGCCGCCGCCGCCATGGCTGCCGTGATGGTGATCGGGATTGACTGGCTTGGTGCAGCTTAGGCACTCAGTTGAAAGATCTGATGATGAGGCCACCATTGCAAAGAAGAGAATATTCGAAAGGATAAAAATTAGGGCAGCTGCTTTAGAAGCCATTGTAGAAGAACTTAGAATTAGGGTTTTGGAATTAGTTAATTGAATGATGAATTAGTGTGTTTAATTTGATGGGAATTGGTACACAGAGTGGGGGTTTTTATAGGTAAAAATTTGAGGGTTTTGTGGAATATAAATTTGTTAGTAATATTTGAGCTAGCTAAAGTGGTGGTCGTGTCATTGTCCATATATAAATAAATAAATTTATATATATATATATATATTATATGTTCATGTGGACAGTCTGGATGGGAGTTGAAATCTGGAAATGTGCATGGAGGACAGCCAAAGCTAAGCTACATATTCAATTTAGGAACTAATAATTGATTAGAGTGGGATTCATTGCCACTAGGGTTTTTTATTATTTTTTTCCTTGTTTAATTTATCTCATGTTTTGTTTTCTTTATATTTGATTTGAATAATAACTAACTATGATATTTTTTAGAAAAAAACATAATACTATATTTTTATAAAAAATTACGAGAAGTACACATACAATTTGAACTTAGAGTTTGATGCCATTCTGATATTTGTGTCTATTGATGACACAAATATTGATCTCTCGCTCTCTCTCTCTCTATATATATATTACAGGTAGAGTAAATGGCTTCATAATCGAGCTTAAAATTGATGGTACATATGTCGGGTTAGGGGCATAAAGTGTGTGATTGTGAGTTTAAATTATTCACGTCAACAACAAGAACATTATTTTTCGAGAGCCTTATTGAAAATTTTTTAAAGTTAAATGTGCTTGTTCTAAAGTAATTTCGGGATGTACGATCTTCTGAATTTTTTTTGAAAATATGCGCGAGTGAGAACAAAGCGCGCTGGAATGAGTTGTATTGATATGTGAAGTTAGTCTACATGAGCGGCCTATGTGACTTGCGGATTGGAGTGTTAGTGGAACAATACGAATAGAATGTATGGAACAAATGATATATCATAATAGTGCATACAATACATATCATAATCGATTTCAATACAAAATATACGTTAATGATAACACACTAACCATAGTGTCATGATAAAACATGTGCCTACAATTATTAGTTTTAACATTGAAACATAATCTTAATTTATAATTAATCGAGAGTGACTAATGAGTTTATGAAACAAGTTATTGAAGACGACCAAGTGATACTTTATATATATATTAAAATAAAATAATTATATAATTAGCATTATCACCTCACTAAACACCTCACTAATCCCCCTAATAACAAAGTGATGAGGTACTTAATTACAACACCAATGCACATGCATATATGCTCATTAATCATCTAAATTCCATTTCTTATTTAATCCCCTTTGGAGAACATGTTATTCTTGACTATGTTAGAAAGATAGAGACTTTATTTATTTATTTATTTTTCCCGACGGCGGCGAGGATTACATAGGACCTACTATATACACTAATCGATCATGACGTCTTTTACATAAAATTAAACAATTACAATATACACTATCATAATATGCAAACTATTATTCTTATCAAAATTATCCATGCACCATTATTTTTTAGTTATATATACATATAGCTAGCTTTGCTTCGAGATGTTATTTCTCTTAAAAATGAAGGTTACAATTAGATTATTAACATTAATAATAAAATTGGCTATATATGTATTATTAACACATAAAATAACATTCAAGAATTATTTTTTCTAGTTTTTTTTTTTTTTTTTTTTAGTTTAGGTTTAGTGCTCATAATTAAAATTAAAATAGTTTACTATTTGGCTGTTACATGTACTAAAGAGAATTTGTAGATTAATGTTCAATATGGTATTTAATTAGCCCATGGGTATTTGCATAATATATTAGTTTAACAAAGGTTATATTTTTTAAAGTGTATTATGATTTTTTTATTTTTTATTTATTTTACAGGTAACTTGTTTTCTTTTTTTTTTTTTTTTTTTTTTTTATTATAAATAAAAAAACATTACTCATGCTGTTGTTAGGCTTAAGATATTCTTATCTTTGTTTTGTCCATTATCTATGGAAAGTCACGTTCAAATACCTAAGACATGGGAAGAAATTCCTAGGAAAAAAGGAAAAACCATTTTGTTTACACAATATATTTTGAAAATTTGATATTATTCATTTTTCAAAACATCATATATATATATATATATATTTTTTCTCAATACCACACTAAATACCAACTTTTTATTTTATCTAAAATTTTAAAACTCTATTAAAACTCCCAAAATGTTTCTATCTAAAGGGAAATATGTGGTCAAAGTTTTACATGTGAAAAACTATCGTAGCTTATTAGCTCAAAAATGGATGATTGTAATTTTTTAGGGACAATTTTGAAGATAACCTCAAAATCCTTCTCCTACATTTATTTTACAATTCTCTCGACTCGGTACCTAATTGATATAAATTATTCTATTTGTCTGTCAAATTTAGTCTATTCTTTTTTCCATGTTTAATTTATCGAATAACTAGTTTTGACAAAAAATAAAATAAAATAAAATAATTAAATGTTTAACTATTACTTTTCATTGAAAATTTTAGTATTAAAACTATCACTATCATTATTACATATTATTTATATTAATATACATGAATTTCTATAAATACCTTATAATAAAATATATTTTCATTTTTCATTTTTCTAATGAAAAAAATTAATTTTTTCTTCATGTCAAGTTGATGTAACGCTGCGATAATGTGTAGTATACATAGTTCTTATAAATTTGTTTGTGTTATTGTTCATGTGTGCTTATTTATTTAATTAGGGAGTTAGCTAGATAGTGTCTTTATCTAAAAAATGAATGATATTTTGGAAATGGTTCTACAAGGATCTTGTACTTCTAAGAAATATGAAGATCCAATTGCAAAGCCTTCCAACTGGATAGAAAAGTAGACAAAATGTTATTTTTTTTTTGTAAGATGAAATAATGTATATTTGAAAGAATCAAAATTATCGTATAATAAAAAAATATGAAATCAAATTTTAAAACGACAGTGCCAAAGTTTTTCAAATGAACAAGAACTCGGTAATGAGAAAATTATTGAAATAGAACTTCTGTACAAGACTAACTAGAAATAGAAATTGTTAGCCAATGAGTCAAAAATTTTACTATACAAACTTTAACAACTTTGCTGTATTCTTTCGAATTTAGTTTTGATCTTTGATCTTTGATTTTCACTTTAATTAATTGTTCGAGATGTAATGTATTGTAAGATGAAATATTATTCTTTTATCCATAATAAGAAAATTAAAATTAAGATTTAAAATAATACATCTAATAGTTTCAATTAGTTTTTAAGGCCTGAGTGATAATTTTTTCTAATGCAACGTACAAATGATATAAAAGTCACAATTTTACTGATGTAATTATCATTTTAATCATAAAAAGTATTATTGTTATTTTTTTATTGGTTTGTTTATTTTAGTGACAAAGAAGTAGCCTTTAGTCATTTATTTTATTTTCTCATTGAGTATTTGTCGAGAAGAGATTTGGAGTTTCAGTTCAGTGATATCATCTTCAAATTCTAATAATGATAATATGGACATTATAATTCTGATATCATATCAATATGTAGTTTTGAATTTCAATTTAAAATTAATTGATATCAAGTAAAGTGATATTTTACCTTTATATCCAAAAAGTTCTTACAATTTTCCAATATATGACAACAATATTTAACATTACCCCTCAAGATAATATCATCTCAAAATTCTAAACAAGATTAATACCTAATACCGACATCATGACTCTAATATAATTTTAAGAAAGAATCCAAAATTCCGATTAAAAACTAACTGGTAAAAAGTCAAGTAGTCATTTACCTTAATAGTATATTACTTGCAATAATGATCATTTAATTTCTATAGAATTAATTAGGTATAGGGTGATCATCGAGATCCAGTTTCAATTGATAAAACTTATAATGATAATATTATTCAATTTAATAAACGCAAAGGCTAATTAAATATCCATTGCTGATTACTCTGCTAGAAGGCCAGAAACCTTCTATATAGCCAGCAATGTTATTACATAACATAGCGACAAAGATAACAACGACAACAAACAAACCTCTAGACCAGATCAAAAAAAAGAAATCAACAAACGACCAAAAAGCAGAAAGAGATATTGCAAAACATCGAGGTAGATTGATCGAAATCTCCAATTAAGATGGGCACTTGAAGTCCTTGGGAAGCTTAATGTCACAGAGGCCGACAAGCAATTCGAGTGAGAGTGGCAGGTTGAGCTTGACAAGGTTCAAGACGTCGAGTTTGATGTTGGTGCAGAGGCAGAGGGCAGCCTCTAGATCGAGCACGCCGGGGATCAGGCTGCAGCAAGGCTCCTTTGGAGGTTTTCCGATCTTTAATTTCACCAGGTTCAGCACATTGGCACACACACCCAAGTTTAGAGTGGGGCACTTGCCGCCGCCATGGCTGCCGCTGCCATGATGCTTTGGCTTTGGTGGTGGTGGTGGTGGGCATGGAGATGGTGATGAGGCCACCATTGTAAAGAAGAGAACATTCGAAAGGAGAAAAATTAGGGCAGCTTTAGAAGCCATTGTAGATGTGATGGACTATGGAATTAGGGTTTGGGAATTGAGGAATGAGTGTGTTTGATGACAATAGGGATAGGGAATTGGGGATTTTATAGGTAAAAATTTGGGGGCAATGTTGAAATTAATATTAAGAATTTTAGGGTTCATGTGGAGGACAGCTTAAGGTAAGTTAGCTTGCTGCATATACAATTGAGGAAATAATAAATAAATAAATAATCAATGGGGACTAATTAAATTGAGCTCAATTATTGAAGCACGACTAAGCAATATTGTGAGGTACTGCTGGAAACATGTTGATTCTTGATTATGTTATGTTGATGATGAAAAGTGTTAATAATATATGTTCGATTATTTACTTTGAAGATCAAAAACGTTATGATCTATTTAGTATATTCATATGTTATTTGTATTTTGGGTAAAAATTATGACAATATCTAAATGAAAGCATGCATTATCGTTTCATTATTTGATATGATCCAAAACATTAAGATTGAGATTTGAATAAAAGAAAACCATATGTCAAGTTTGAAATGCAAACGACCAAAAACTTATGCGATACAATTTCCAACAATCAATTTTTTTTATGCTTAATTAAGCGAACATCCAAATTACCAAAGCAAAACTAAAATATTTTCAACTATCTAAGCAAGTAGTGTTAATAGTGAAAGTACCAAGATATCCAAAAATGGTCACTTAAAGGAGTTACGACGATCAAATATTTTTCAACTCAAATACCAAGTTACCCAAAAATGCTCACTTAATTAGGCAACTAGTGTTAACGTATTCACTTCTAATTCACCTCAGATTTAGGTTTGGAGCGTCCAAACAAGATATTTTCATTAGTAATTTTAGAATATAAATTATAGAGAGGATGATTCAAATATATTTACAACTTTGGAAGAATCCTCCAAACATGAACTTGGTTATGCTTTAATTAGGTTCGGTCTGGAGTTTACCTGATGCGCACTTTTGGGTAACAACTACAGGTTCCCACGTCATAAATAAAAAAATAAAAAAATTAGAGGAATGTTTTTAATTACATTTTGGCCTTATCATTTTTAATTTACTGTTTATACTTTATACTTTCTTCGTGCTACATATCCAAAAATATTTTCTATTTTAGTATATCTCACATAAGAATATATACTTCTACTTCATATGACTCTAAAACAACATATAATGGACATTTCTCTCATCGATTATATAAAGATTTATCACATTAATTACATCGCTCTATGCAACAATATTTCGTTTAGACATATATATTTTGTATGCTTGAATTTTCACAATCCATAATCACTGGCCATGCTTGGACTTAATTATTTGACTGTTTTATTAGTTTGTTCACTTAGACTAATTTATTTCAAATTTAATGATTCACCTTGCACTACAAAAAAAATAGTATATTTGTAATGGAATTCTGTTCCTAAAGATCACGTAGCTAACGTAATTCCATCATTAATTCCGTCTCTAATATCATTAGTAACGGAAAAAATAGATTTTAAGACAAAAAAATCTCGTTACAAAAATGATATTTTGTTGTAGTGTTGGTTACACACAGATATACTTCAACTTAGGAATATGTTCCAACTTGAAATCTTTAAATTCAACCTAAAAACCCTCGTGGAAAAATAGGATGAATGTATGTTGTTTGGGAAATGTAAGTTGGGCTAAATAATTTATGACATTATATTTTATTTTATTTAGATGACGTGGGAACTCGCAATTAATGACATTATATCATTCAATATATATATATATATATGATGCAATCAATAGCCAACAATTCTACTTTTATAAATCAGTCATACCACATACATCCTCTTCATGTCCTCAATCAATAATTATTGTACTAATTTCTACGATTAACCACTTCTATCTTATCCAGTGAGAGAGCCAGAGTTATTTCGCCAAGGGTTGAATGTATCGTTAAGGTCGAAAAACAATATATATTTATTATTTTGAGCGGAATTGATGATAAAAATATGTACTTTAACATATTAATTAATATAAAAATATTAACTTGATAAAAATTGATCGATATAATCAATAATATAATGAATGTAACGACTAGAATGACGATTGGGGGGCTCGGGTGTGGCTCCGCCACTGATCTCATAGATGGGACAAACCAATCCATTAAACATGATTAATACTTCTTCCATCCCCTGAAATTACATCAATATATATATATATATATATTATTATCGGATAAACTTATGTACAATTTATTTGTAATAAATAATTTTTTATCACTCACAATTTTATTTTTTATTTTAAAAAATAATAATCAATTTATCATTTTTTTTTTATATATCCTAGTTACTTTTTTATTAATCATTTAATAAATTTCCTATAATACAACTAGTGTTACTTTTTATCAACTACACTCTAACATTAAAATATCATTATTTCTTACTATCATATTTGCATGAATTATTGATAATTTAATTTCTATATAGAATTTAATAGGAATGCAATATCAAGTAATAGACTTATAATGATAATAAATGCAAAGGCTAATTAAAAATCCATTGCTGACTACTCTGCTAGAATGCCAAAAACCTTCTATACAGCCAGCAATGTTATTACATAACAAAGATAACGAGGAGAACAGACAAACCCTAGACCAGATCAAAATAATAAATCAAAAACCAACCAAAAAAGTGAAAGAGATATTGCAAAACATCGAGGTAGATCAAAAGTAATCTCTAATTAAGATGGGCATTTGAAGTCTTTGGGAAGCTTAATGTCACAGAAGTCGACAAGCAATTCGAGTGAGAGTGGTAGGTTGAGGTGAACAATGCCCAACAAGTCGAGTTTGATGTTGGTGCAGAGGCAGAGGGCAGCCTCGAGATCGAGCACGCCCGGGATGAGGCTGCAGCAAGGCTCCTTTGGAGGTTTTCCGATCTTCAATTTCACCAGGTTCAGCACATTGGCACACACACCCAAGTTTAGAGTAGGGCACTTGCCGCCGCTGCCATTATCGTGATTGTGATGGTGATCGTGATTGGGATCTGGCTTGGTGCAGCTATTGCAGCCAGGTTGGGGTAGCTTTGGTGGTGGTGGTGGTGGTGGGCATGGAGATGGTGGTGGCGGTGGTGGTGGTGGACATGGAGATGGAGATGAGGCCACAAAGGTAAAGAAGAGAACATTCGAAAGAAGAAAAATTAGGGCAACTTTGGAAGCCATAATTGTAGATGTGATCGAAAATGGAATTAATTAGGGTTTGGGAATTAATTGATGAAGAGTGTTTGTGTGTGTGATGGTTATTTTGGATAGCTAGCAATTTGGGGGTTTTATAGGTAAAGTTTTAGGTCTTTTTTGGAATATGTTATTAGAGTGTGGTGTCCATCTCCATGTGGGCAGTCTGGATCGATTGAAGATCTTGAAATGTGGAGGACAACTTGGCTAGTTGCATAGTCAATTTAGTAAGTAACTAATATTAATTAAATCTAATTGAATTTTTTTGTCAATTTGTGAGCTTTCGAAGTTTATACATACATATACAATATAATTGTAGGAATGTGGGTAGGGTTTCCTTGTCAAATTTGTCAAAACTTGCCACTGAGTTCATCGGGGCATCCAAGGGAAGTGCGAGCCCGCGATTTTTTTAGGTCATCCGTAAAGATTTTGGGCGGCAAACTTGTTAAGTTTTTTATTAATGTGTATAAATAGTCATTATAGTCTATCGAAAGGGATTGATATTTGTACTAGTGAAAATAATTAGCTTGACGTCTCTAGATATAAGTTCGGCAAACTGGTCTTGTCTTTCATGTGTGTTCATCATGAGTTTTCCTATTATTTCACTTAAACATATGTAGATATATGTTTTTGAACAATGTAATTATATTTCCGAAATCATATTATATTTATCTTATCTAATTAGCATTATGTTAATATATATATAATCAACTATTGAGATTGTATTTACTACAAATGGAAAAATTAAGATAATTTTAGCTATTATGTGGATGATTTATGACATTGTAATGATTTTGAATGTATCGAACAATCATCCAAACATAGCCAGTGGCAAAATCAGCCCTCAAATTTTGGGGGCTGAAAGCTGATATATTTTTACCATTTAATATTGTATTTTAGGGTGTATTTGTTTTAGGGTTTTATTTTAGTTTGAGATTTGAATAATAAATATATTGAAATGGAACAGTTCACTACAAAAAAATAATATATTTGTAACGGAATTCCGTCCCTAAAGTTCACGTAGCTAACGTAATTCCATTACTAATTCCGTCTCTATTGTCATTAGGAACAGAAAAAGTAGATTTAGAGACAAAAAAAAAAAAGGTTTTGTTACAAAAATGATTTTTCCTTGTAGTGGTTGTACGATGAAATATAAATAAAAATTAATGTGATGTTTTGAATGTGAAATTAATTTTTAGTATAATATATAAAATAAAAAATAGGTGTATGATTTGATATTTTTTTTTAAAAAAAATTAATGAATAGTAAAAATTTGGTGAAGTTTGATGAAAATAACACACCCTTAATTTAAAATAACACACCCTTAGGGTGTGTTCGGTTGTGAGATTTAATCCCAAAATTATTATTCATCATTTTTTTTTCTAAAAAATATCAAATCAAATACTTATTTTTTATTTTTTATATTATATTAAAAATTAATTTCATATTTAAAATATCACATCATATCACATTTTTTCAATTCAAAATATCATATTATAGCACACTATTTCAATTCAAAATTTTTAGTATTCAAATATCAATTCAAAATCCAAACCTCCAATTAGAAACACGCTAAATTATAGGGTGAAGGAGGTACATAATTTGCATGATGCAATAATTGAGAGTAGTAATGCACGAGCACTAAGAAATTTAAAAAAACAGCTTATTCATGCATGACTAAGTAATATTCTTCATTCCATCACTGCCAATGCGCATGCACATGCACATGCACACACACATATCAGGGCTGTTCTTGAGTTTTGCAAAAATTAAAAATATGCCATATTTAATTTTTTATATTATAAATCATTAATATAAAAATAATATTTTTTACTATCGCTTAAATTTATGCATAATTTATTATATAATAAACAATTTTATGCACTCATAATTTTATTATTTTTATTGGAACAAATATTAAGCAATTTGTTACTATATTTTCTATTTACCATCTTATATTTTTATCAAATTTTTAATATATTTTCTATAATATTCTCACTTAAAATATTATTATCTTTTAGCTTTCATGCTAGTTCTGACAAAAAAAATAATGTTTTTATAAAATATTACATTAAAATATATTTACATTCGAAATTTAAATAAAATATTCATGTTTAAATACAACCAAACAGATTTTGATATATATATATATATATTAATATTATACATGTATTTATTATATTTATTTTATACATACATATATATATATATTTTAAAAAAACGAACCCCTAAAAAAGGCCATAAATTTGGGGCCCTGGCGCTGGCACTGTAGCACGGGACTAGTTAGAGTTACTAAGTGAGCAGCTACTCTTCAACGTATAACTAGAATTATATTAGCATAAATTATGTGAATTAGTATCATATATTCTCGGTTCATTAGGCTATTTCAAATGTACCTTACGCCACGGCCGTCTCAGACTTTTTGGGGGCTTTGAGCGAAAATAAATTATAGGTCCTAGAAACGCATAATTAAAATGTATTTTTAAAATAATATCATTGATTGGCGTCGATTGGAGAAGTGGTTGAACGTGACCGTCTCGACAATGTCAATTTAAAAAAAGAAGATGAAAGACGGTATGTCCGGAATTTTGAAAAATCAGAAGGACTGAAGGAAGATAAAATAGATAAAAGAAAAGGTGAGAAAGATTTGTTCTGAGATGGTTAGGAAGAAAGTGATGAAAAATATATATATATATATATAATTAGAATTTAAATAAATTAAATAGAATAATTATGAAGAAGAAAAAAATATTAACTAAAGTTAAAATTTAATTTTAAAATTGAATAATAATAATAATTATAATATATAATAATTTAAAATATGGATCATCTATTAATCAGGGGCTTTGAACAGGGGCCTTTGAACAGTTGTTCACCTTATTCCTACTATGAGCCGCCCCTGACCTTATATCATATATTTGTATTATATTAAAACGTCGTTGAGATCAATTATAATATGCGCCGTTTAAATATTATCTTGTGCTGATTATTCCTAACCAAGACCCGAACCATCGGTATACATAGATGTATAATATTGCTCCATTCACATGTAAATTTTATTCATTATACAGCAGGGGCGGATGTACGTGGGGGCAAGGGGCGCTCCAGCCCCCCTCCCCCCACTCCACCTCACCCCACTCCACCCCTTATAATTTTTAAGTTTTTGTTTTTATTTTATAATATATAATTAAAAAATAATAAAATAAATTAAAAAATTACAAAAAAATTGATAGAATATTTATGTAAAAATTTAAATTTTGAATAATAAAAAAATTTATATCATAATAATTTTTTGATAATATAAAAATAGATATGAACAAAAAAGTAATAAATAATAATTAAAAAAAAATTTTAAAAATTTCTCAACACAGGAAATGATATTTTTAACAGTTTTTTTTTTTTAATAAATGTTTTTATTATTTATCAGTTTCATATAATACAAAATTCATCTTATAATATGCAGTTGTCAATGTAGATATTTTGCAAAGATTTTCGAAATATGATAACTCTATTGATAAAATTATTGGATAACAAATAGATGATGATCGTTTCAAAATTTTAAAAATTAGCCCTCCCTTTCATCCTGGTCTGATTCCGCCTCTGATTATACATGTGGTTTAGTAACAAATTCATTAGTCAATGCAGAATATATGTATATATATACAAATTAGCTAAGTCAATGGAGATGCAGGAAACATGCATGTTGATTATTAATTTCTTCAAAATTATTTTCAGCTTGGAGGTGATTAATTTATTAGAGAGATGAAATCAGTCCCATATCTTTTTTATTCATATGATAATATCCTCTAATTTTGGAATGACTCAGAATTTGTTTTCTTTAATTCAAGTTGTAGCAGGTCAATACTACTATGTATTAGTTATCATCAATTTATTTCTTGTCCCAAATATTATTTAGAAGTTGCCTGTTATAGATTGAACATATTTGCGATATGTCACATAAAAAATTATCCAAATATATCAACAATGAAATCGAAGAAATATTTTTGCATGGGAGAAAATCTATTGGGTTGATTATATAATAATTAATGACGGTTTTTAGGCGAGATGGTCAATTAAGGGTGTGTTTGTTCGAGGGATTTTCCCAAAAATCTACTATTTATCTATTTATTTTTTCTCTAAAAAAATATCAAATCAAACACCTATTTTTTATTTTTTAAAGTTATACTAAAAGTCAATTTTATATTCAAAACATTATATCAACACCTATTTATAACACATCATACAACTATGTCAATTCAAAAATTTTACTATTCAAATCCCAATTCAAAATCCAAACTTCCAAACAAACACACCCTAAGAAAATCTATATAATGATATATAGATTTGTCAATTCATATTTTCATGTTGTGTTGTTGTTGTATTGAGGTGGAGGTAAAACATAAAATATTAAAACTCGTACATGACTTGAATAGAATTTTCAATCCAAAATATAAAACGCGAACACAACACAAATTATTACATGATCTTGAGCAAGAACTGTTTTGGCTGCCGCATGTTGTTTTCAGGTCCATTAGACAACCGTCGAGATGATCGGTGTCAGCAACCAGAATTGCAAAAGGAAATTTATGAAGTGATATTTTGTCACATGCTGAGGAGTTGAAAGATAAGACTCTTTTGTTCATTTGGGAGTTCTCGATATCATTTTAGGGTTTTGAACTCGAGTTGACAAAATGCCAAAAAGCTTGAAAGTGCAAAGTTAAGCCAAAGAGGACAAGTTGTTAAAACTAAAAGGCTTGTCCCCCGACAAATTAGAAAGGTAAAGCTGGTTGCGGCTGCGTGTTTTGATGAACGACAAGTTCATCCGAGTTTTTGTACATTAGTTGTGCTTATCGATCATAGTTTTGTATAGTCTTTACTAATTTTTTTATTGAATTTTATTTTTGTACTAAGAAGAAAAGAAAATAAAGATTATTGCACAAAAAATTCAGATCGTTACTTTCTTTTAGGCATCTCATGCTATATTACAAATCAAAAGAGAAGAGAGAAAATTTGGATAAAGTCAAAGGATATATTGAGAATTCTGGCATCAAGAGAGATTTGAGGAACAAAAATTTTAAAAGTATATTTATTTTTTAGATTTTTTAAGGGTTGCACGGTTTTATTCAAAAAATAAAAAATAAAAAAAAAAATAAAATAACAGCAAAAAGTCGTAAAATCATCTTGAAAATAAAAAGAAAAAGGATGTAAGAACATGCACGCGCGGACGGCTGGAGCAAGAACGATCGCAACCTCTTCTTTGTCATCTTCTCTCGAGTAGACCTTTACTGTTTTTTATTTCTAGTTAATGTTTAGTGACTAAATTTTCTTTCTAGTCTAATGTTGGATTGAGATTTCGAATTATGGATTTTGGAGTGATGGTGGTGGTAGGGTTGTGGAGGATCTCCAAATATCCGGAGAGAATTTGATTATGATACAATCTAATCTAATACGCATAGTAACAACAATAATCATATAATCTAATATATTTTTTGTATCACAAATACATATATCCAGAAATGGATAAATTATAACATTTCAAAATCACCATACACTAATCAAACAAACGAAGTCTAATTACGAAATAAAATAGATTGTGTGATTTACGAAATAAAAAAAAAATATATATATATAAATAACAAAAATAATTGAGACTAAATTTCATAGCAATATGAATCAAGTAGGAGATTGTTTGATTGTGAAATTTGATTGAAACCCGAAGCCTAGAGATGAGGTTAGAGTATTATTAGCATTGCCAAATTGTTGACCTAAGGTTTCTACTTTATAAATATACATATATTCTTACTTTATGTATAACGTTCGAAGACTGAGTGTGCATTAATTTTACATAGTTGAAATTGTTACTTGATAGTGCTAAGAGGTAAATCAATTTGATCGAATCAAATAATTAAATTTTGTGTTCCTCATTGATTTTATGTTTTAATTATTGCATTATTTATCATAACACCATGGTTAGGCCTATCACTAGAGAGGCTCATAATTCAGAATACATTCTCTTGTCCAAAATTGATTGCTAGCATTTATTCCGGTAGACTTTTTTAAATAATGTGTTTTGATATATCATTTTTTTAATATTCCTATAAATTGTATTTAAAATATCGATTTTTTGTGTTGTCAAAGATTTATACGAACACCTCAAGTGAGAAAATACTAGTGAGTGTTGGAGGAATTCTTTACCGGTGCAAAATGAAATTATTACAATTCTTTATTTTTATTTTTATTTTTTTATTATATGAAAATTCGACTTTACGATTACGAGTTCACTTTCACACCACCAGACTATCTTTGACGAGACGATTAAATTTCTTATTTTATGATCTCTACAACTGACGATATGGATATAAAATATGAATTATTGCAAATTTCATAATAGAGAGAATTAGTACAAAAGAAAAAAGGTTGACTTAACATTGGTTAATCACTAAGAATGGTTGATGTGGTAATTAAGATCTTTTTCTTTTATAGAAAATAAATAGTATTTTGGGAATAATGTTGTAGATATGATCGTATACTCTAATGAAATGTGATGACAAATAAAATACTTGGAGAAGCTATATATATATATATATATATATATATGGGCGGCTATTAGTAGGAGCAGGGTGAACAACGCCTATAATTAAGAGAAGGTCTTTCTTTTAAATATTAATTTATTATAATTATTAAATATTATTTTATATTTTATATTTTTCATTATTATCCAATTCAATTTTAATTTTAAGATTAAATTTAAAGCTCTAATCTCATGTATCTCTTTTTTTTGTTTTTTTGTTTTTTGTTTTTTATCTTTTATTCATAACCATACTGCATTGGATCTTTCGAAATTTACTGGTCGCCTACATCTCTTCCCTTTCACTTTCACGTCTTTACTGTGCTGCGTCCATCCACCCACCAAGACCAAAACCCACTTCTCCCTCTCTCTCTACTTTCTCGTTCACATTCTCTCAGTTTTTCTTACTATTCGAACCTTTAGACGAAGTGACGTCGGTTCGATTTTCATCTTTTTCTTCCGAGTCAACCACGTCGTCAGACCACTGCCTTCAACTTTTTGTCTAGCTGAAGCCAATGTCTGTGATATAATTTTTAAAATACATTTAGTTGTGTGTTTATAGGGCCTAAAATTTATTTTTTCTCAGAGCTCCGAAAAAGTCCGATCGAGACAGTCATGACGGAATGTATATTCTGATTTCTTGCATTGGTTGATACAAATAAATGAGATGTTGATCATACCAATCCTATTATTATTATTATTATATTATAGAATGCATAGTTTTTCAAATCCATAGTCTGTTCCAGATTAATTAAAGTAATCTATGTCTTTCATTTGTTATTTAATAGTATATTAAATGGTGGGATTATTATTTGCATGAATCAATAATCATATAAAAATTAATTTCTATAGAATCTAATAATAGGAATCCAGCATCAAGTAACAAACATACGATGATTATTCAAAGCAAGGGCTAATACTCCATTGCTGATTCCTGTGCTATCCAGAAGGCCAGAACCTACCGTACAGCCAGAAACATTATTACATAACATAACATGACGACGAAAACAAGAACGACCACCAAACAAAACCTAGAAACAGACAGACGCTTACAATAACAACTCGAAAAACGACATATTAGAAATTACGAGTAAATTATATCGAGCCTCTCGTAGATATATCGATGGATCATCGAAATCTAGAGTTAATTAAGCTGGGCATTTGAAGCCCGGGGGAAGCTGACAGCCACAGAGGTTGACAATCAACTCGAGTGAGAGTGGTTGGGTGAGGGTAAGAAGGTTCAACACGTTGAGTGATTTGATGCTGGCGCAGAGGCAGAGCGCGGCGTCGACGTCGAGCACACCGGGGATCAGGCTGCAGCAATCTGACTTAGGAGGGAGGGTTCCTATGTTCAATTTTAACAGGTTCAGAACTTTGGCACAGACAGTCAAATCTAGAGGATTGCAGGTGGGGCTGGATGAGGCCACCATTGTGAAGAAGAGAACATTGGAGAGGACAAAGATTAGGGCAGCTTTGGAAGCCATTGTAGAAACTGAGATGTGATCAAAGATGGAATTAGGGTTTACTTTGGGAATTAGTTGATGTTGAATGTGTTTGGTAGTAAATTGGGATAGCCAGTTGGGGATTTTATAGGTAAAATTTTGGGGGGTTTTGGGAATATTTTAATTTGAGTTTGATGTCGATCTCCATGTGGACAGCCTGGATCGAATGAAGATCTCGAAATGTTGATGACAACTTAAGTTAATTAGCTAGTTGCAATTCCTAAGTTATATAATTAAATCTAGTGGGATTCATATATATATATATATATATTATACATATATGTACAATACAATTTTAGAGATGTGGGTAGGGTTTCCTTGTGAAATTTATACATTTAGTAATAAAAGAAAGAAAGAAAGAAAGAAAGAAAGAAAGAAAATATATATTTCGATTTAAAGTTCAAATAATATTGTATATTCAAGTCCAACACCGGCAATCAAACTCGCTGCCGAGTTAACTGTGGCATTAGGAAGGTGGGAGCCTTCGAATTTTTTTTGGCGCGAACCAATTGATAGATATAGATAATTTCGCGAACTAATTACCAAACCTTTGTTTTTCCGTGATTCATCTTGCTTTTTGTTATTTTTTTGCTTAAGAAAATGTAGCAATATATGTTAATATTTTCTTTCTACAAGATTGTATTAATTCTTGAAATTAATACGTATTTCTATTCAACTTTTTACTATTTTTAAATGACATCAATCCAAAACTTCAGAAAACATGTAAACACAACCTTAATGACCACCTTTATATCTCAAGTTTGCTACAATAGATAGATTTATAGTACTATATATATATATAGATAGGGTTGTTTCGAACTTTTTCGAAGTCCTGAACAAAAATAGATCTGAGACCTTATAAACACATGATTACAATATATTTTCAAAATAATATCATCAACATTGACGTGGGTTGGATAAGAGGTTGATGGCTGCAGTCTAGCGGCGGTGTCGATTCGGGAAAATAAGATGGAAGACGGACCGGCGGTGCTTCATGGTGATGTCCGAATATTTGAAAAGTGAAACAAATTGCCGGAAAAAGAAAGAGAGGGAAGGAGCTGGATTTAATTGATCGTTGAGTCTTCCTTGTTGTTTGGTGGGTGGGTGCTGAGCGGTGGAACGTGAAGGTGAGAGATTGGTCAATCATTAAATTTGAAAAGATGAGATACAATATGATTACAAAGAAAAGATAGAAAAAATATATAATTAAAATTTAATTTTAATATTAAAATTGAATTGAATAATTCAAAAAGAAAAAAATATAAACTAAAATTTATAATTTAATTTTAAAATTTAAAATTTAATAATAATATTAATGGAATAGTTTTAAAAAATATATGCATCTATTAATTAGGGTTGAGCAATTGTTCATCTTACTCTTAAGAACCTCCCATATATATATATATTAAAATTGAATTGATTTACATCGTATCTCTCTTAAAGGTTTCAGTCTTGCTTCATTCGGTCAGTTTGGTTAACTTTTGAGATTATATTTTAAATAGGAAGGTGTTTTATTTTTTATTATTTTTTAAAATTTCAAAACTTTGAATTCAGATGGTTGAAATAGTGTTGCTTAAGAACTTTTAAAATTTTAATATTAAATTTTTGGAAAAGTCATTGAAATAGCTTTTGCAACTTTATTTATTTACATATAAATTTCCATCTTTTACCATTTTATATACAACTTCAAATATTCCAACAAAAAAATGAACGTCAATTAGTGAAATAGTTATATAAATTCTTTTTTTTTTTTTTTTTTTTTTTTTTTTTTTTTTTTTGTATATGTAAGAAATTGAAAGTAAAGAATGAATTATTTTTTATTTTTCAAATTTCAAATTTCAATGACAAACAAACAAAAAAGATACACTTATTTTCATTTCTCCGTCCTAAATTTCTTGTATCAAATAGTCCTTTAGTATTTTGGATGACATGATTTTCGAAAAATATTATTAAAAAATTACAATATATATACATTAATAAAATGTAATATATAGTATATTTTATTTACTCATAAAATCAATAATTCAATATAAAATATTAATTTTTATATTATTAATACAATTTCTTATAACTAAGATAAAAAAATAGGTGCATAAAAAAATGCAAAGTGAACAAATTGGATTGTCTAGTAATCGATGACCTAAATTTTTCATTCTCTTACAGAAAATGAGAAATGGAATTAGTAGAGAAAGTGAATTAATTTTCTTGTTTGGTAAACATAGAATTCAGTTGAAAAATATAAAAACAAATGCAATTATACGAATGATCAAACAATAATAAATGATTAATTAGATAAAAAGAGATGAGAATTCATGAAAAATATTTTTGGTGACTTTTTTCTTCAAAAAATTATAATTTCTTAAAGGACAGTAAAAATTAAATACTTTAACAATAAATTAAATTTATTTTTTTGTAAAATTGAACAAATATAATTTTAAAAAATTATAAAAGTTAAATAGTACAAAAAAAATTTAAAAAATATATACTACATTATTTCTCTTAATTTCTCTGCATATGAGAGAGAAATTAAAATAGAGAAATAGAAATAATTTATTTTTCAAGTTTCATTTATCTTACTCAAACAAACAAGAGAAATGATACTATTTTTGTTTCTCTGGATTCATTTCTCAGTACCAAACACAATGTGTCAATTTTGAAATCCAATCTAATTTACATTGATTTTTTTTTAAAGGTTCGGATTTGTTTGGGAGATTAGATTTTAAATACACTATTCGTCCCATTTTTTTCTTCAAAAAATATCAAATCAAACACATATTTTTTATTTTTTATATTATACTAAAAATCAATTTTACATTCAAAACATCACATCATCACCTATTTATATCACATCATACAACTATTCAAATTACAACTCAAAATCCAAGCCCCATGCAAAGACACCTTATAAGTTATTTAAAACCCAAACCTCAAAATTTTTATATTCTTGCTTGTACTAGTAGATAATAAAAAAATTAATCAAGTCAATGCATGCAGGGTTCAGCCAACATGTTAATAATCAATTTTTAGAATTTAATTGTTAGTGTGCGTTTATAAATTAATTAAGTCAATAGAGATGCACTTAATTATAAATTATTTTTCAGGTTTAAGGTGATTAATTTAGAGAGATGAAATCAGTCCCATATCTTTCTTTTTTTCTTTTTTTTTCTTTTTTTTTTTCATGTACTAAATATCCTTTACTTTGGGAATTGAATTCGTTTTCTTTAATTAATTCAAGTTGTCGTAGGTTATCAATTTATTTGTTGTCAGAAATATTATTAACGTTGGCTTCCTGACTAAATACTATGTACGGACGTACACGATTAACCAAGACAGATTTAACCGAGGCCAAATCTCGAGGTGTGTTTGTTTCAATGAGTGTGCAAAAATTAGTTTATTAAAATACTCCTACATATCATGTCCACGTTGCCATTTTTGTCCGTCCCACATGCCATGTGCATTTTGGAATAAACCCGCAAACGGTGAACCGACCAGTGTATCAAAAAGGCCATTTCCAGAAAAAATCATCAATGAGTATCCTCTCCCGACGAATTATCGACCGCCAGACTTTCATGTTTTTTCTCAGGAAAAGACGGATCCTCCACCATAGAGCATGTTGGTCGGTTCACAGCACAGTTATGAGAGGTCGGTAGTAACTTTTTTTATAAACTGCAACTATTTGGTTTGTCTCTTACCAGAACAGCTTTTTCGTGGTTTGTCGATCTACCACCTGGACAAATACAAACCTGGGAAGGTTTGGAAGCGGCCTTTCATGCAAGGTTCTTTATTCCGCTTCCAACAGTCTCACTCACAGACCTTTTGGAGATCAGGCAAATGCCGGAGGAGACCGCCTACCAATTCATAGAGCGGATGCGATTAATAAAGGGACATTGCCCGAAAATCATTGAGGAAAGCGAGATGACCAATTTGGTGGTCCGAAATATGCATACGCAACTGCGAGAGGCTTTAACGGCCCACGACGTTCAAGATCTGGCCAGTTTAGCATCCAAGTCAGGGAGGTTATAATCTTTTTTCAGAGAAAACGATCACGACTTCTGTCAAGGGGAGGTGCTGAAGAAATGGTAGTGTAAGATCGACCAACGTGGAGGCCAGCACCAGTCCGCGATAAATGGAGGTCGGGTCCAACGTAGCCTCGAGAGAAGGAGGTCGGATCTAAGGCTGATGTAGCCTCGGATGATGGCCTGCAAACTCCTAAAACATCACTGAAAGTGACGTTTAGGAGTCTTGAGGAGGAGGCTTATTGTTACACACAAAAAATAATAATAATAATAAAAATAAGGATAGCATGATCTTAAAAGAAGTTAGACACGAAGTCGGATGGAAAAGGAGAAAAATTTGCGGTCAAATCGGTTGGTCCTCGGTCGGTTGGTCTGGTCGGTTGGTCCTCAGTCGGATCGGCAGGTCGGAAGGTCTGAGGTCGGATAGGCAGGTCGGTTGGTCTGCGAGTCGGACGGTACGCAGGTCGGACGGTCCGCAAGTCGAAAGGTCCGCAGGTCGGATAGTTTGCGAGTCGGACGGTCTACAAGTCGGACGGTCCGCAGGTCGGAAGGTCCGTAGGTCGGATAGTCAGCAGGTCGGATCAATAAGTTGGATGGTTTGCAGTCAGTTGGTTCACAGTCGGTTGGCCCGCCATCGGTTGAGTCGGCCAATGCGGAGTCTGGACCAAGTGAAGGTCTGTTAATCAGTCGCCTAATTAAGTAAACAATAGTTCAGTCGCTTGGTTGGGGCGACCATTGAATCGTCTGGAAAGACCAGAGGGTGGTCGTTTGATGAGGCGACCAAGGAGTCGTTTGGTCTAGCGACCAGTTAGTCTCTGATTTGGTCGGATGGGTTATGTGGTTGGCGAGACGGTTGCCGTAACCGACCAAACGATGTTTCAAAACGTTTCGTTGTGGGCGGTTGACGACGGTTGCTGGCGACGGTTCCGAAACGTCTCTTCTGAGGAATATTTAAGGATTTGGGTCAGCAACTAGCAGGTCATCTTCAATCAACTTCAACAAAAGCAAAGTCAGATTCGGGGATCACCACTTTAAATTTCCAGC